TGTGGTTGAGAAAATTGCTTTAGTAAGTCCGTTCTTTCGTTCTCGTTCTAGTCTCTTTTCTTGCTCTCCTTTTTTAAATTTTCTGTTCTTATTGCTACAATTAAAAATTTTATTTTCGATGCTAGATACAAATTTGCTTTCTTAAACAGGCTCGCAAATTGTGATATGTTTCCAATCTTCGGTAACATGACGATTGACACGATTGACATTGGCAAACTGTTATCTTATTGCAAAAAGTAAGGTTGATCATTAGATGAGGGGTAATGCTTGGTTCCTCTGAGTGAGATACTAGTTCCTTAGGGCCACATATATGTTTAAATTAAAGTGTTATTCCAAATTTTCTTTAATTCTTACATAATTTTAAGTTTTAATTCGCCTTATTTTTATTTGAAAAGGTTTTGTAACAAATGCTGAGGTTACAGAAATGGAAATATAGGATTCAACCTCATCAGTAATGAGTATGTGTATTTCCTTATCGAGAGCCAATTTGTTAAGTCGAATTTGTAATTTGACATTTAAACATGTGCAGATTTGAACTGAGGTTGGAGAAAGTAGATCCAAAGAGGCCACAAATATTTCCCCCGGCCTTCCCTTCTGCATCTTTTGTTAATTATTGTGCATGTCACTAGGCCAAAATGCAAGACTGACGACGAAATTTTGCGACGAATTCTATCTCCTAGCGACGTTTTATTTTCGTCGCCAAATCAGTCAAAAATCAACGCCAAACGCCCCGTCGCAAAGTCAGCGACGAAAATACATTTGCGACGCCAAGTTTGGCGACGGAAACCCAACTTCGTCGCTAAAACCGTATTTTCTGAAAAAAAATTATTTTTTTATTGTTCGCGACGGATAATGAAACTTCGTCGCACGTTGTTGCTACGAAATTTCATATTTCGTCGCAAGTTCACTGAATATTTTGGCAACTAAATAATTTTTTCGTCGCCCGACTTTAATTAATTTGGCGACGTTAACGGAATTATATTTCGTCTCAAGTACTCATTTTTGTTTGTGACGATTTTGTTTTCGTTGCAAACCTTTTTAATTAATTAATTTATTTTAATTATTTTCTATTACAAAATAAAATCAGCTCTTAAAATTAAAAAAAAAAAAAAAAAAAAAAACCAAAACCATATTTAATAAAAAATATTAAAACCCACGATTACCAATTAAATATCAAAATACAACACAAACATCAATTCAAAAATTACATAAAAACTGAAACCATCAATCTATTAGTTCAAAAGGCACACTAATTTCATCTCGTTTTTTTTTACTCCACTATTATTAGGACGAGTCGACGTTGAGGATTGAAATTCTTGTTGTTTAAAACGCTCGAGCAAGGTGTTCAAAATACCTCGGGTTTCCTGTAATTGCTCTTCTAATCGATCAACTTTTTCATCTTTAACTTGCATTTGTTCTTGTATTGTTTCTCGAGTTTCCTGTAATTGTTGTTCCAATCGATTCACTTTTTCGTCTTTCATTTGCATTTGTTCTTGCATTGACTTCATTTGAATCTCCACGTATGATGGTGTTGAAGAAAATCTCGACTTTCCAATCCTTGTGCTTGAACTTTTAATTCCAAGGCCTTTACTCTTTCCCAAAACCTTTTCAATTGCAGTCGAGTTGGCCGTGCTTTCGTCACTTCCATCACGCATGGTCTCGTCATAAACTCGCTCCAAATCAGCCTGAAAATGATTATTTACAAAAGTTTAGCCAAAAATTCGACAGCATAACATCTAAATACGAGCATACCCAAAAAAAAATCCTTATTAGTACACAACAACTTGACATATTAAAAAAAAATACATAGCCACACATCTAAACTTCGTACTTAATCAACATATCAAACAATTAACATGATAAACTAAAATATCCATATAATAAACCACAACAGCATATCCATATTCATAGATAAAAACCACATCCATATCCATATATCTCAACTAAACATATAAAGAATTAACATACTACCGATTGAAGAATATAATTACACTTTACTTACGGAAATGAGAAGTTGTTCAGGAGTTGCTGTCCCGTTATACGGCTCTGTCTCTCCTTCCTCACTAATAGATGGTCCGGTTTCCCTCAACGCATCAATGCCCATGTAGGCTTTCTTATACGTATCAAACACGATAGGATTTTTGCCAAACTTTTTAAACTAAAAAATAGATTATACAATAAGTAGGTATTTTATATAAACTTAAATAAATTAAAATTATAGATTAAGCCACTTACATGATTATAGGACCAACTATTGATACTTGTTCGACCCCAATGGTGGTCTGTCGACACTTTCTTTCTCGAGTCCTTGCATTTAGTGGACTTGGACTGTGAAAAATATTGCACACATTAGTACACATAAATATTAAATATATGAAAATATAATCATAAATTAAAAGCATAAAATTTACCTTCCCATCATATCCCGGAGTAGAAATTGAATGAAACTGATCACATTGCCTCTCCCAAGTTTGAGCGTTAATCCTAATATCCTATTCAGACTATTTGCCTTAGCAGCTGCAAGGTTAGGCGCTTTATCAAAAACCACATTCAATCTTTTATTTTTTGCATCTTTCCAACGACAATTGGCCGTCTCTTTGAACCATTTCTTCGTAGCCTCATTTTCAGGAAGTTTTCACGTTCCCTAAAAGGCATACCAAAAATTCCATAATTAATTGATAACAAAATAAATATAATAACTAAAATAAATAAAATAATTTGAACTTTCACATGTGCTCTCGTCGGACCTATTGCATATGTTGTTGCCTTTGCCATGGCAAAGGCTGTACAAGAATGATTTTATTTTCTTTTATTCTTTTAAATCTTTCGTCACGATTGATTTGTATGGCCACACTATTTTCAGATTTTCTTATAGGGGTAATGGCAAATAGGCCCATGACAAGGGCACTTAATTAAAAAAGGGACATCCAACTTTTTTGTTTTTCAATTAAACGCACCCCATTCAAACTTATTTGCAAATAAGGAAAATCCCTTTATATATACCAAAATTACCCCCAATTCATTGAAACTCAATTCAACTCCAATTTAATGATTTACACCCCAATTTAGCCCAATTTCATCAATTAACCAATTTTAAACCTAATTTCAATTTTGACCCCAATTTTAACCCTAATTCTTATCAATTCCACCCATTATGCTCTAACTTCTTAAATATTACACATTGACCCCGGATTTAAACAAATATATCACATTAACCCCAAAACTTTTTTTTTTTCAGAAAATAAATTTTTTTTTTGAAATATTTTTTTTCCGGCCAGATTCCGGCGTTGACCGCCGGAGACCGCCGGTCTCCGGCGTTGACTTTTGTGTTTTTTTTTTTTTTTTGAATTTTTTTTTTGAATTTTCGTTTTCCTGAAATTTTTTTCCGGCCGGTCAACGGCCGTTGACCGCCGGGTCTCCGGCGTTGACTTTTTTTTTTTTTTTTTTTTTAATAATTTTGTTTTTTCTTAAAAAAAATATTTTAATTAATTTTACTGTCATGGCTGCTAAATTACTGTCTCCGGCAGCTATTTAACTGTCGGAGACAGTAATTTAACTGTTAATTGACTTTTTTATTCTTAAAAAAAATATTTTTAATTAATATTACTGTATTCGTTGCTAAATTACTGTCTCCAGCAGTTATTTAACTGTCGGAGACAGTAATTTAACTGTTAATTGACTTTTTTATTCTTAAAAAAAATATTTTTAATTAATATTACTGTATTCGTTGCTAAATTACTGTCTCCAGCAGTTATTTAACTGTCGGAGACAGTAATTTAACTGTTAATTGACTTTTTTATTCTTAAAAAAAATATTTTTAATTAATATTACTGTATTCGTTGCTAAATTACTGTCTCCAGCAGTTATTTAACAGTCGGAGACAGTAATTTAACTGTTAATTGACTTTTGTATTCTTAAAAAAAATATTTTTAATTAATATTACTGTATTCGTTGCTAAATTACTGTCTCAAGCAGTTATTTAACTCTCGGAGACAGTAATTTAACTGTTAATTGACTTTTTTTTTTTTTTCCTTACAAAAAAATTTGTTTTAATTAATATTACTGTCTTGGATGTTAAATTACTGTCTCCAACAGTAATTTAACTGTTCGGAAAAATAATATTCATAATATTACTGTCCCAAACAGTAATATTACTGTCTGAGACAGTAATTTAGTAGTCAAGACAGTAATATTAATTAAAATATTTTTTTTCTAAGAAAAAAAAAAAAAAAAAAGTCAACGCCGGAGCCCGGCGGTCAACGCCGGAATCTGGCCGGAAAAAAAATTCAGGAAAAAAAAACATTTTCAAAAAAAAAAAAAAAAAAAAAAAAAAAAAAAAGTCAACGCCGGAATCTGGCCGGAAAAAAACATTTCAGAAAAAAAATTATTTTCTGAAAAAAAAAAGTTTTGGGGGTAAATGTGATATATTTGTTTAAATCCGGGGTCAATGTGTAATATTAAGGAAGTTAGAGCATAATGGGTGGAATTGTTAAGAATTATATTATTGAGGGTATTTTAGACTAAAGACATGGGGATGGGCTTAATTGAGAGACTGTTTTTTTCGTGGACTAAAATGCATTTAAGTCCCATGTGATGGGCCTTTTTGCCATTTGCCCTTTCTTATATTCATTAATCTACTTTTCCTATTTAACACTTGTAGTTATTTCATAAATAATTAAAACTTGGAAATGTTCTTACATATATCAATGATATGTTCTTTTACACTAACAAAATTTCCTTACAACTTTTCATTTAACTTATCACTGCCATTCTCATAAAAATGTCATTGTCTTTCTGGTTTGTATAAATGTAAGTGTAAAAAATATTGCATCATCACAAAACATTATCATAATTCGGAAAAAGGCTGCTAGTATTTATCATAAGTTCAAATATCAATTCACAAGAGTCAGATGATATTATCTTTTCTTCTCAAATGAGAAAGTATTAACATAGATTTAAAATGCGAATTGCACATAATAGTGTACAATTGTCAGAAATTTTATAGATCATTGATGTCACGAATTCGAAAGTAATTCAAACAATAGAACAACCAAAACATATAAATTGGTTGTTTGCAACACAAAACAAATTTTAGAATGCTCAAACATTTTGTTAAGAACACAAAATAACCATTAAGACATGCACTAGAGGAGAAATTGCTCTGTACCTCACAACATATAAATTGCCCTAATGTGGGTTCCGCATTTTTGTTTCCAGTATTTAATACCAACAAAAAGTGGTATAGAGAAAATTTTAATCATATAGGAATTGCATCAAACACCTTGACTGCAATACCCACGCACAATTGGATTTTTCGTTTTTGGTATGCATATACAAGAACAGATTGACATACTTTCTCTACATGATGAGTTAATGATCAATGATGAATTTTCTCTTAAAAAAACAAAAAACCGATCGATTATTATTATTATTTTGGAGAAGAACGATCGATGGTGAATAAATGAGGATAATGGAATTCGGTTTAAAGTTTTAGAAGAAGCCTAATTAAATTTGACGTAATATTTATTTTCATTTAATATGATTTTAAATTTGTTGATTACTTATTAAGTTTTGGATTAAGTTTAATTAAAAGGGGGCTTTTTCGTAATTTTCCTTATATTCCAGGGTTTGTACATTTTGTTGTTGGGTACGTACTTATATGATAATAATGGTCCGATCGGACCTAGACAACCCCAACTTATATCTACATATCTAAAGTGAATTGTAAAACAAATCTTTTGAGTTGTTAAAAAACTCTTTGCACTATTAATACTCTAAGTATCCATTTTTTAATCACACAACCCCTAAAAACAACTCTTGGCATTTGATCTGACTTCAAACAGTTCAATATTATTAGCACCATGAACAATAACAAATTATGTGCTCTAAAGAGTAACAAATAATGCATTTGGAAGCTGACAAAACAACAAAAGGCCATTCATCATATTAATTAGCACAATTCTGGATACAAAAAAAAAAAAACATCATTCATCATAATCCAAACTACTTCCCCTACTAACATTCTCCATCAAAACATCGTTCGAAAAGATTGTTCGAGATAAATACCCCATGTTAGCTAAAATATTAGTAGCTCCATTAACATCTGTACAGCAAAAGTGGAGCTCGTAACTTGTCAAATTTCTCCATCATCAACTTGAGGAGTCAGTGCAGCTGCTTGAACCACCACTTGCTTGCTAAAACAAGAAAACAACATTAGTGTGTCTCTTGACATCATACTTATCGACATAAGAAGACTTTTGCAACGGAAAAAAACAATTTCAACTTGCAAAGAGGACAAGGGGCATTACCTGAGAAGATGATTCTTCATTGAAAACAACGCAAGGATCATATACTTGTGAATTGCATGAAGGGCAATAGTTGGACGTCAATAACAGCTGTCGAAAAATGCATTTGGAATGATACGCACGTTTACAACAATCCATGATTGTCATTTGACTCCAATTCGGTCCGTCATTACAAAGACGACAAATCCTCATCATCGTCCACGCACTATAGAGATCTGAAACCCGATTCCTACGCATATGCAACAAAAATTTCAAAACATTAGTAACCCCTGGTCTGGCGACGTACCCCGGTCTATGACCATTTATCGATTCAAAGGGCCATATGTACAATGGCAGCAGGTTTTCTTTCTTCATCGCCCTTTTCATGGTTGCGTCAATCTTCTCCCCCACTTGCTGCAATGTGACAACGTCGATTTCGACGATTATGCTGTTGAGAGCGCGTGATTTGGGATCGGAGTCCTTTTCTTTTGCTAAATCGAATAGTTTCTGCTTGAACTCGGCAAGTTGCTCTTCAGAGATCCAATATTCCTCAAGCCGATGTTTAAAAACCTGAGTCAACTCGCAATTGGGTTCTTCGGGTGCGTACAAATCAGTCGTGTACCTCTCCGACCCGATGATCTCATCTTCACCATTGATTTTCCTCACGATGAACAAAACATTAACATCCAACACATAATTTACATGGTTAGGTTTCACTCGATATTTGAAAAACGCAACATACGTGGTCCCGGCGAATAAACGATTGTCACATGCATAACCATGTTTACCAACATCAAGCTCATCAGCCATGCTACACATACATTAACAACAAGAAAAATCAGAATAATAATTCAAAACTAAATAAATACATATGGATCAATATATCACCGAAAAATGAAGAGATTCGTGATGAGATGTAAAAATAAATGAATCAATTCACGACATGGAACAATACAAAACCTAATAAGACAAAATAAAATAAAATAAAAAATCGACAGCAAATTCAAAGAATTGATTATCTTAGCGTTCGCGAGAGAAGAAAAAAAAAACCTGCGAATATAATCAAAACTGTACGTAAAATAGAAATAAAATATAATCCAAATCCTCATTAAATGTTCATAGAAAATAAATAATAACAAAAACAAAAAAAGGGAGCTCCAATTATTATTTGGGCATCTTGCCGATTTTGGACCGAAATACAATTGGATCAGCTCATAAATTTACTTTGTAACCCAATAGAACATATCCTTAAATGTGAAATTAGAACTAAAAGTTTCAATGAATTTTATTTTGGGGCCTGATGTATATGGGCTAAAAGTATGATGAAGCCCAAATATTGTAATTATAATATTTGAGTCTAATTTCAATGAAAAGCCCAAGATTATATTTCAGGCTCATAATTAAATTGAGCATATAAATGGTTCAATTTTATTAAGAAAAGATAATTAATTTTCATTATACACATTATAATATTTTCTTCTCGTATTCCTCTTATATTCTTCTCTTGGAATTTGGACTGACTTAAGCATCGGAGGGCTTTCGCCGGAACCAAGCTCCGGCGCACTAACGTGTATTTCTCTTACATAGGAAACGCCTCGTTTCGTCAAATTGAAGAAGATTATCACTTGATCATATCGGTTCTTGAGTATTCATTGTAGGTTCAAGAGTCAATTTGAGGTGATTCGAGTTAGCTTATTGTTGACCGCATCAGGGCCATTTCGAATTTTTTTTCTTTATTTTTTTAATTTTTAATTTTTCTTTTTTATTTTGGGTAAATTACAAACACTCCTTTGAGATATGGTTAAATTATGAAAAACTTTCTCATTATTGGGTAATTACAAACTTCCCTTCAACTATAAATTATTTTACATGTCCACCCTTGTGATTACCTCATCGACGCCACACCGACCCCACTCTTTGTTGTCCCGGAAGCCGCAACCATGCCTATACAAACAAAAGGTAAATTAAATCGAGATCCAATGCGTAACATTCAAATAAATCAACGCAATAAAATCGAATAAAAAAAATCTGAGATTTAAAGATCAGAATCCGGTTCGAATAAAATACCCTTGTCATAAATGAAGAAGATTATATGAGATTGCTTCCTGGACAGAAATCTGTTTACTATGAGATTGAGAGTCTATTTTATATCAAAAGAGGGAATTTTGAGAGTTCGTATATATATAGACAAAGAGCTACTAGACGAGGCTCGTGTTTAAATGGGTAGAAAAATCGAATTGCATACGATGTTGAGCTACATGTTTAAAGAATATAGGATGACGGATGATCAAGTATATGAATCGGACAAGCCGGTCTGGCATGTTCGACCGTGAACCAGTAGTAAAGGTCCAATTCAACCACTAAAACAACAAATAACAAAAACTGATATTTAAAGCCCGAAAGTCGGTTCGAATAAAATATCCTTGACATAAATGAAGATGATTATATGAGATTGCTTCCTGGACATAATCTGTTTACTATGAGATTGAGAGTCTATTTTATATATCAAAAGAGGGAAACTCTAAGAGTTCGTATATATATAGACAAAAAACTACTAGACGAGGCTCGTGTTTACATGGGTAGAAAAATCGAATTGCATTCGATGTTGAGCTACATGCTTAAAAAATATATAATGACAGATGATCAAGTACATGAATTGGACAGGCCGGTTTGACCTGTTCGACCGTGAACCGATAGTAAAGGTCCGATTCAACCACTAAAAAAAAACTGATATTTAAAGATCGGAATCCGGTTCGAATAAAATACCCTTGTCATAAATGAAGATGATTATATGAGATTGCTTCCTGGACAGAAATCTGTTAACTATGAGATTGAGAGTCTATTTTATATCAAAACAGGGAATTCAGAGAGTTCGTATATATATAGACAAAGAGCTACTAGACGAGGCTCGTGTTTACATGGGTAGAAAAATCGAATTGCATACGATGTTGATCTACATGCTTAAAGAATATATAATGACAGATAATCAAGTACATGAATCGGACAAGCCGGTCTGACCTGTTCGACCGTGAACCGGTAGTAAAGGTCCGATTCAACCACTAAAACAACAAATAACAAAAACTGATATTTAAAGCCCGAAATTCGGTTCGAATAAAATATCCTTGACATAAATGAAGATGATTATATGAGATTGCTTCATGGACATAATCTTTTTACTATGAGATTGAGAGTCTATTTTATGTCAAAAGAGGGAAACTCTGAGAGGCTCGTGTTTACATGGGTAGAAAAATCGAATTGCATTCGATGTTGAGCTACATGCTTAAAGAATATATAATGACAGATGATCAAGTACATGAATCGGACAAGCCGGTTTGACCTGTTCGACCGTGAACCGGTAGTAAAAGTCCGAGTCAACCACTAAAAAAAAATTAAAAAAAATTGATATTTGAAGCTCGGAATCCGGTTCGAATAAAATATCCTTGTCAGAAATGAAGATGATTATATGAGATTGCTTCCTGGGCAGAAATCTATTTACTATGAGATTGAGAGTATGTTTTTTTATCAAAAGAGGGAACAGTGAGAGTTCGTTTATAGATAAAGAGTTACTAGAGGCCCGTGTTCACATGGGTAGAAAAATGGAATTGCATATGATGTTGAGCTATAGGCTTAAAGATTATATGATGACAGAAGATCAAATAGATGAATTTGTTAACGATGCGTTGCTATTTGGTCAAAACATTGCTTCTGCTGATGCCGATCGCCGTGTATTCCGGATATATGGAAAATTGGAGGTCACCACATTTGTGCAATCCGAGGATCTTCCATGCATGGGGGTCCGAGCCCAAACTATGATTCCGATGTCCCTATGACCATTTTGTAGAGCAGGTGATGCACTCAGAAATATTCCCAACCCTGCCTCTCTTTTTACTATCGCAAAGTTACCAAGGATGATGATTGATAGCACGATGTATGATCAGAAAGTGGAATGCGCTTCCGAAAAATGTAGAGATATGGGGAACTTGTATGTTGGGGATCCATTTGTTCGGCTCCCTCGTTGTGGACATATGTTCCATCCACGATGCATGGCTGAGAAATTGTGTGTACAGCCACTATGCCCAAAATGTTTGATTCCCGTCTTTGATGCTTAACCGGTCGACTATTGCTACAGGTTGTATGTTCTTTCCATTTCGGCATGTTTATTATTATTTTTATTATATTTGTTGCATTAATGGAACGAGCTTTTACTGGGTAAATGATTTGTTATTGTTATAATTTGACTGATTAACCTTTTGAATGGATTGTTTATTTTTCTTGTCTGGTATACAAATTTCAAACGGATTGTTTATTTTTCTTGTCTGGTATACAAATTTCAAACGGATTGTTTATTTTTCTTGTCCGGTATACAAATTTCAAACACATGTGTAAAACTTACACGAATGCTTATTACCCATTGCAAATCAGATTGATACAATCATCGAAATTTGACTGTATGTTTCTTATTTCTTGTATTTCCAGGAATGAAGTTATTGAGAAGGAAGAAGGAATCGTGGAGGACGTTGACTAACATGCATGAGGCAGCTATCTAGTTTTGCTATATGCAACGGCGGTTTGCTAAATAGAACTATTCTAAAAACTAATTTGTATGATGACTTGCATTAATTTCTCTAATATTCCCTGTCACAAAACTTTGATTTTGAAGTAGTAATATTATGGCTCTAATTACTTCAACAAAAATTTGGTTGTCTAGGGTCCGAGAGGGGTTGTACTTCTCGGACCTAAACGATTGAATCGGACCTCTTTGGTCTTGATGTAATAAAATTAGGTTAATTTACAGGCTTGAACTAATAAACTCTTTTATGTGGGTTTGAACTAATAGAAAAAATGGGTTTGCATATAACCGCCGCCTTATTGATTTCCTCATTATATTTTAAGTTTAATTAAAAGGGAGCTTTTTTTCGTAATTTTCTTTATATTCCAAGGTTCGTACATTTTGTTATTGGGTATGTACTTATATGATAATAATGGTTTCAGGGTTCGTACATTTTGCTGTTGGGTACATACTTATATGATAATAATGGTCCGAGAAGTACAATCTCTATCACAACCCCAACTTATAGTTAATAAAAAACTATTTGCACTATTACTACTTAATATTAATAAAACACTCTAATTATCCATCTTTTTAATCACACAACCCCTAAAAACAACTCTTTGCATTTGATCTGACTTAAAACAGTTCAATATTATTAGCACCATGAACAATAACAAATCATGTGTTCTAAAGAGTAGCAAATAATGCATTTGGAAGCTGACAAAACAACAAAAGTTCATTCAACATATTAATTAGCACAATTCTGGATACAACAAAAAAGAAAAACGAAAAAAAAAAAAACACCATTCATCATAATCCAAACTACTTCCCCTACTAACATTCTCCATCAAAACATCGTTCAAAAAGATTGTTCGAAATAACTACCCCATGTTAGCGAAAATATTAGTAGCTCCATTAACATCCGTACAGCAAAAGTGGAGCTCATAACTTGTCAAATTTCTCAATCATCAACTTGAGGAGTCAGTGCAGCTGCTTGAACCACCACTTGCTTGCTAAAACAAGAAAACAACATTAGTGCGTCTCTTGACATCATACTTATCGATATAAGAAGACTTTTTCAACGGAGAAAAAACAATTTCAACTTGCAAAGAGGACAAGGGGCATTACCTGAGAAGATGATTCTTTATTAAAAACAACGCGAGGATCATATACTTGTGAATTCCATGAAGGGCAATAGTTGGACGTCAATAACAGCTGTCGAAAAATGCATTTGGAATGATACGCACGTTTAGAACAATCCATGATTGTCATTTAACTCCACAAATTCGGTTTCGGTCCGTCATTACAAAGACGACAAATCCTCATCATCTTCCACGCACTATAGAGATCTGAAACCCGATTCCTAGGCATATCCAACAAAACTTTGAAACATTAGTAACCCCTGGTCTGGCGACGTACACCGGTCTATGACCATTTACCGATTCAAAGGGCCATATGTACAATGGCAGCAGGTTTTCTTTCTTCATCGCCCTTTTCATGGTTGCGTCAATCTTCCCCCCCCACTTGCCACAGTGTGACAACGTCGATTTCAACAATTATGTTGTTGAGAGCGCGTGATTTGGGATCGGAATCCTTTTCTTTTGCTAAATCGAATAGTTTTCTGCTTGAACTCGGCAAGTTGCTCTTCAGAGATCCAATATTCCTCAAGACGATGTTTAAAAACCTGAGTCAACTCGCAATTGGGTTCATCGGGTGCGTACAAATCAGTCGTGTACCTCTCCGACCCGATGATCTCATCTTCACCGTTGATTTTCCTCACGATGAACAAAACACTAACATCTAACACATAATTTACTTGGTTAGGTTTCACTCGATATTTGAAAAACGCAACATGCGTGGTCCCGGCGAATAAACGATAGTCACATGCATAACCATGTTTACCAACATCAAGCTCATGAGCCATCTCCACTGGTACACATACATAACAACAAGAAAGATCAGAAAATGCAGAATAATAATTCAAAACTAAATAAATACATATGGATCAATATATCACCGAAAAATGAAGAGATTCGTGATGAGATGTAAAAATAAATGAATCAATTTATGACATGGGAAACATTAGACAGAGAGAACATAAATAATTGTTGTGTGCGTGCATTTTTTTTCCATTTCCATTATCTTTTTCGCCTCCGGGAGTATGTTGTCATTTAATCTTTTTCGTAGTTTACAAACTTAACATTCTTTTCTTTTTTTTGATTTTTTTTCCTTTCAATCATTTATTTATAGGTACGCATTCCTCACTGTTGACTAATCTTTTCTTCTTCTACCGTGGTTTTGTAATTTTTGGACGGAGATCATTGGATTGGATGTTCATCTTCTCCAACAAGTTCTGCAGAGATACATATACACTGAATAACTGTAGCATTTGGTCTCCCAAGTTTCCCTTTCTTCCCATTTTTTTGGAGTGTGAAATTATTATAAAATGCTGAAATGTTGTGCGAATTGTTTTCAAACATATGATACTGTTTACATTTATGTGCGAATTTTTTCATCTTCTCCAACATTTTTTTTTTGGTTACTGAGAAATTTATTTTCTGAAATGTTTTATACTAATTCATGTAAACTCACTTATCATGATTCCCTTTACCCAATAATTAAGTGCTAATTGTTATTAATTTGCTGCGGTCGATTATAAGTACCGGAGAATTTGCTACGACGGTGTTCTGCATTGATGGTATTGATGAGATTTTCTTAATAAGCTGCTGAAATGTATGCATTTTGCTGTCATTTGCTCAAACCTATTCAAGTTGGAGGTATCTCAGTTGAGTATGCTCTAAGACTGCTGAAATTTGCCTAAATTAACTTTTCAGTGGATACATGTTATAGTTGGTAGTGCAGATAATAAAAAATAAAAAATAAACCAGGGAATGACTTTCCCCCCAACTAGATGATACAATGAAGCTTACATGTTCCGAGTCTTGTTGCGCGTTTATATCTTTTCATAAGTGTTTTTCTATTTGGTATATTGTTTTCAGTTTGTTCTGTACAAATTTCATTTGCCGGCGGCGGTGGCGCGGCAGTGTCGTTTAGATACGTATGGATTTTACTTTCATTTTATTAGTGCAGTTCATGAAAGCAATTTATCTATGCATGTTTATTCTAATTGTGAACTATTTACCTTTTTGTTAGTCATAGATTGCTGCTTCAGTTTTGGTTCTTCGAGTTCTTCGGTATCTTTATTGAAATTTTGGACTCATTTGCAGTTAAGCTTTGGATAGTTGTAATACTAAACTTTTATTATTCAATCAAATAGCGACAACATATACATGGGAGAACAAGTAAAGGTCATTCTGTAGATATGAGATAAATTTCTCCAATTTTGATTAAATCGATTTCTACAATCTTTTGATATTTAATTATTTCAGGAAAGATTTATTGCAGAGAGGTATCTATTTTCTTTCACGAGAGGTAATTTCTATTTTCTTTCACGATTTATGGTTTCTTCTCTACCTCAGGCGGCTTCATTTTAACTTCAGAAAATGGTGTGGTTATATGTGTATGGAACCTTAATTTCAGTATTTATTTTTAACTGTTAAGTTTTTTATTTTGTTATGACATCGGGCTGGCCAGAGACCATATTCGCTTACCACCAATGGGGAACTGACAAAACTTACAGTGGAAGGTGAGGCAAGAATAGAAGAGAAGATTTTCGAGCTATTTAATTTATTGTGTCTTATATTCAATTCAATTTCTATTTTCTCTACAAGTTATGAAATATTATACGTAAATGCATTAAAAAAATTTATTTTATGTAGGAGTGGCCAATTTGCGTGACCTATGGAGTAATTCTTCGATACATGGGAACAAGTCTGCAACATTGTCGTACAAAGTAATCTTCATTCATAGTTCTTTGATGAAATCTCATGCATTATAATTTTGCTGCTGAAATTAGCTTATATAGTTTGGAGGGAGTGTGGTTTTTTTTTAAGCTCGTCCATATGTTAACCTGTAGCGAATTCTGATTGTTTGCTTATTTTGAGAATGATTCAATAGTAGCATGTTTTCTTGTAGTCCTTATTGCACGATTCGATGGAATTGTTAAAGTTGATGTTCCTTTTAAGAGGGCAAAATCGAAGTGTAGTGTTGAACAAGTAGGTGTAACCGTTAAGTTCTATGACGACGAACTCAATGTAGTCAGTTATGGGAAATCGAGATAAAAAATGTGACAATGTGGATTCTCCTAAAATGGGTTTATTACTGAATAGAGGGAAAAAATCTTAAATGCAGAAACAAATGGAACTCTTGAGTGGATGTCCAAAGATTTCACCGATTATTAGTTGGGATAGGAATGCAAGAAAGGAATATGATGACCTGGAAATCTTGTCCCTAATCAAACTGGGATTGCTGTAAAAGAGAATTGACTTGTTCAATTTGAGGCGACGAATAATACGGAAGTGAAAAACGTGCGGGATTCGGAGGATTTGTAGAATGCCTTGGCAATTCTTTATCGAAAAAAGGCAACAACTGGTAATGTTTTTTTTTTCAATTTAAATGGATTAAATTTATAATGTAATAAGTATTGTGTCGTAGTTTATATATGTCGCGGCAGTGTTCCCAAATGTGCACTATGGAAGATGAGGGGTAAAGAGCATAAAACCCCCCTGTGTTTTGTAAAACCTACACCAAATCCCCTTGTGTTAATTTTATTGCGTAAAATCCCCTTCTGTTTTATTTTTTCTTGCACACACTCCCCTTCTCCGTTAGTTACTAACACCGTTAGATATAGTGGTAAATTTATGAATTTGCCCTTTCAATCAATTAAGATTAAATTAAAGAAATTAAAAAAAAAAAAGGAAAACAAAAAAGCTATCGGACTTCTCAACCCAGATCCTAATTTCATTACCCTAAATCTTTTTAGCACAAAACAATTCTCTGCACCACCCTAATCAACACCAGTATCTTCCACCATGGCCACCGTCCAAGCACCATGGACTCTGTAACTTTTCTTGCACTTCCGGCGACCACCGTTTTACCTTGAAAGGGTACTTCTTTGGCAAAGGTAAGGCCGTACAAATAAATTACACAGTACTTCTACTTATTATATTGGATGAAGCAAGTGGTATTTATAAATGAGTGGGATCCTTTTAAGAGTGGAGGAAATGAATAAAAACATTAAAAAATGTCATCTTCTTTCAAAGAGAAGGCAGACCTTTTGTTTTCAAGTTAATAGTAAAAAGTCACTGTATAATGTTGAGAGAATCATTTAAATATGTTCTGTCATCGATCTTAGAGCTTTGTAAAATAAAATCAATAAGTTGTAAAAAAAATTGAGCTTTGGTACTATTTAATTTCTTTTAATAATGATTTTTTTGTTCTTTTATCAACTAATTTGTCTATTTTTTTTTTACACATGGACAGAGATAGTGTGTTGGGAAAAGATATTGAGCGAACAAACTTTTCCCTGGAAACAAATTGGTTTTTGTATGATGGGCGTAATGGGGTAAATGTAGAAAATTCAACCCAACGTGATGTGGATATTGATCGAGACTTAGATCATAATGCTGAAAATGAAGTTGACGATAATTCTGACTGTGATTCATGGATGGCTGAAGATTTTGAAGGTCCAAATGATGATGATATATTTGTCGAGAGACCTGAAGACCACGCTCATCAAGAACTAAAAAGAATGAGAGTTGTCATGCAAGAATCTGCACAGAAGACCAATGCTCAAACATACGATATAGACCAACTCGGCAGCTCCAATGAACAAGATTGGTACAGTGATGTTGAAAGCGACAGTGATAGTGATCTAGAGAATTTGAAAGGTTCAGATCATGAAGGTGATGGGTATGAATTATGGAAAGAGAAAAACTACCCCAATATGAATGAGTTTGAGATGAAAATTGGTATGAAATTCGCTAATAGAGCCATCTTCAGGGAGGTCTTGAGGGATTGGGTAGTTAGGAATGGCTGGGATTTATCTTTCAAAAAGTGTGAAAGGCATAAAATCACAGCAATTTGTAAGAAAGGTTGCAATTGGAAGATTCACGATTCTTCTGTTATGAAAACATTAGTATTTCAGGTGAAGAGTATAAAAGGGTCTCATAAATGCGCTCGTACCATGGACAACAAACAAGCCACATACAAATATATAGGGAAGAGAATTGTGGACGTTGTCAGGGATAATCCTTGTGAGAGCTTGGAGACACTTAAGAGGAAAATTTGGAGGGACATTCAGGTAGATTGTAGCTTGCACATTGTATGTAGAGCAAGAAGATATGCACTAGTGCTGATCAAAGGAAATGTAAAGAGAGAATACGAAAGGCTATGGGATTATTGTGCTACTGTTTGTAATGAGAACAAAGAAAGTACTCTTCAGTTAAAGCTTGATAGATCGGTAAATCCTCCAGCTCTTATTAGGATGTATTACAGCTTGGGGGGTTTGAAGTCTGGTTTTAAAATTGGATGTAGGCCTATCATAGGCTTGGATGGTTGTTTCTTGAAAGGACCATTTAAAGGGCATTTGTTGTCTGCCATTGGGAGAGATGCTAATGATAATATTTATCCGATTGCTATGGCATTTGTTGAGATAGAAAAATATGATAGTTGGCGTTGGTTTTTAGAAATTTTACTACGTGATATTGGACCATATGAGGAGAGAGGGTGGGCATTCATATCGGATAGACAAAAAGGCCTCATTGAAGCAGTATCGGAGCTTTTTCCACATGCTGAACATAGGTATTGTTTGCGGCACATGTATAATAACTTTAAATTAAAATTCAAGGGAATCAACATGAGAATGAAGGGCACATATTTGGCTATTTATGATCACATGATTTATCCGGTACCTGGAATGAAGTTTTTTGCAAATAGTAACCACGGCCCAGTAGATCCTCCGATCATTAAAATAAAGAGTGGCAGGCCACAAAAGAAAAGAAGAAAGGATGGTAATGACACGAGAAATTCAAATATTGTATCAAGGAAAGGTTTGACGCACACTTGTTCTAATTGCTTAGAGCTTGGACACAACAAGAAAAGTTGTAGAAATCCTACTCATAAGAAGTCAAAGTTATACAAAGTAAGTTATTTACAATTTTACATTTATCTAAAATATTTTTTTTAGATACTTATTTATTTTTAAAACAACCATCAGACACTAACATCACGGAAGATAATGAAGCTAGAGGACAAGAACGAGAGACAACAATGCAAGATGTTGCACCTGATGTTCCGTTTCATCGATCTACAAAAGCAACAAAATTAAAAGTTATAAAGAAGAAACAAGATATCCAGGTAAATTGTTTAAGAGAATTTATATGATGTAATCAATAGGATCAATGTACTTTTATCATTATTTGTGTAACTATTTCTAATAATAAATAATATTTACTTTATGGTTCTTGGTTATTTAGGTACCAAGGTCAAATATTTATGTAGTTCCCCCTCGTTGTAGTTTAAGGCCAGGGAATAATGCATTGCCCTCTGTTGCAGCAAAAGTAAAAATAATTCAAGTATTTCTAGTTTATATTTTACAAGTACTTAATTAGTATAATATATTTAGTGTTAAATATGTAACATACAATTATTCTTGCAGGAAAATGTTTTCAAAGCAGCATGTTGTTCGTCATCAAATTTGCCCCCGGATCAAAATCAACCTGAAGGTAATCTAACTAAGAAGCCTAGGCAGAAGAAAACAACCATTTTTTAGGTGCTCCAAAAAATTAAAGCAAGACAAAGAGGAAATGCGCCATTTTGACTTTTATTGTATGATATATTGATTGTAGTCGTAGATTTTGCATTTGACTGATTATCCTTTTGCTGGTGGCAAATTTATTTGCTATTTTTTGAATTTGGCTTGTGGCCAGTTATCTTTTTGTTTAAGATGAATATTTTGGCTCGATTATGGATGCAAATATCTTTTTGTTTGACGATGTTGCATATTTTGGCTAATTGGTAATGACACGGGCATGTTTGTCCATTACTCTCTTATGGAATTGGTTATGGACGAGTTTAATTTAACTTTAATTATTGTATGTAATGATAAATTATTGTTGCTTATCAATTATATATATGATTTTTGTTTGTGTGTATTCAATTTGTTCAATATTTTATTTTTATTTGTAGAAGTTCAAGAATATATATAATATTTGAAAGAAATAAAATGAAGTCTGACATTTGTTTCCAATTTTATCGAGTAGTTAACATTAACATTAAAATATTATAAATTTATTGATATGCAAATAATTGGAAATAAATATAATTGAAAATTATTGATATGCAAAAAATATGTGCCTCTTTTTAATTTTTTTCCCTAAAAGAGGGATTTTATGCAAATAAGTATAAAATATGAAGGTATATTTAATACAAGGTATTTGAAGGTTATTTCGGTCATTTAAGGTTGAAAGTTGTAGAAAAATGGAAGCCAACTTTCGGATCTTTGGCGTGAAAGACACGCGCTGACAGATTTTAACAGAAGGGGAGTGTGTGCAAGAAAAAACAAAACAAAGGGGGATTATATGCAATATAATTAACACAGGGGGATTTGGTGCAGATTTTACAAAACACAGGGGGGTTTTGTGCTCTTTACCCGGAAGATGAGTATGCGTTATATGAAGATCCCATTGAACGAATAAGGAACCTTACGCCATTTTTTCGCAGTCTTTGTCATCTTTTGTCGATTTTGCTTTTTTTTAAATGAATTACATTGAAATTTTTATATTTCGATAGGTGGTGAAGTTGGTTTAGCTCGTAAATGTATTGAATCATTCCTATCTGGGAAGAGTCATTTGCTGCTGAAGAATGAAAATCACGACAACCGTAAATCCACAAAGCAAACAAAATCACCTGACATTTTTCTCCCCGGTAGATCTTCATGTCAAGTAAATTATTATGTTCCTATACAAATTTGTTTTTTATTTTATTTTTTTTGCGAAATAAATAAATAATTAAATTAAAATAATGTGTATTATATTCTCAGGACTTCGAGTATATATGTGTGAAGGATAATTGGAGGCTGCTGAAATATTTTGTGGCGTCATTAAATGGTAACACGATAAATTTCATTCCTTCTCAAAAAATAAGCTAATGAATTCGTGTGATATATATTATATCGATTTTTAGGCTGCATTTTTTTATCTTTTTTTTACGATTAGGTTAATTGTTTCGAATGTGGCGATGGGAAGTGACAATTTGAAGTTGTCTATATAGGGTGGTGTGGGGTCCACTCCCTTAGGAGCAAGGGAATTTGCGGCTGCACAAATGATTGTCGAAATACAAACTCGTTTATGTGTTAACGAAAGCTGATTAATCAGTAATTAATTGCCTGCATTCCGATAAAGGCTACCTCAATGACGGCGGTGTGTTCGATGTGAAATAGGCAATGGCGGATATGCGTGTCCTCCAAACTGACTGGGTGAAAGGAAAGGCGCCCGAGAGCCGATTAAAGGTTTTTTTGTTTGTTTTTTTTTTTAAATTCACGTTTTTTGTTTAGTTTTAAGCACATTAACTATAAATTTAGAGCCTTTTGGGGATTACACAGTATCACATCGTGCGTTCGCATCATAAACCCCATCGTAATAACCGATCGATGCGTACGAATATGACGACTGGGCACCACGCAAGCGCGGTGTTCCGTACCTAATATATATATACATATATATACCGGTTCACGGTCCGAATATGGCCCAATTCATGATTTGAACCGCCACCAAACGATTTTGAATTTTATTATTTTATCATTTTATTTTTTTTGTTTCTTAAACAAACTATAATTATTCAAAAAACAAAGGGGCGGCAAACCGACGGGTTACACAGTTCAAACTGCTAATTTAGACGGTTTAACCCGCCAATACCATTAGTTTTAAAAAAACAAAATGTAATATAATATAAACTGACAATTAATTATTGGTTGGAACAGCCTATTAGGGGTATGAACATGAAACATGTTAACTATTGAATAATGTTCGGTTTTCTCGTTATGTCTCCGTCTATTATTTCGAGAAATATTTGGATGTATAAAATTGCGCCAAAATTCGATTCCATTAATTTTAGTTATCTATAGCATTTTGATGTGGCCTACAACATATTATGTTAAATTGTTAATTATTTGCCAAGTAAAGTTGATCCGGTGTGGTTTTTTTTTTTTCAAATATCTTAACTTATAATATTTTTATATTATGTTTTCTTTTAATCGTATCACACGGTGAGAGACTAGTTACATATACAGTTAAACCTCTATAAATTAATATTGTTGGGACCATCAAAATTTCATTAATTTAGGGAAATATTAACTTATCGATAAATTAATAATTATTAATTTATACATTAATTAATAAATTATTAATTTATATGAAATTACTTTTATTATTATTTTCAATAAATACATTTTTTTTACGTGTATATTATTCAATGTATCATTAGATCAATGCATTATAGAGCCCGTTTCACGAACGGAAGCTCTTAAAGCAGCAATGATGTATAACGATTTTATGTTGAGTTATGACAAAACAATACCGAAAGTTCTAACCATGTTAAAAAAAGTGAGGGATGAGATTGATGGTAATGTGAACTTCAAAAAGAAACAAACAACAATTAAATTATATTGTATTACGCTTTCATAGATCTATAAAATATGTACTATACCAAGTAATTTAAGAATTATTTTTATGCATTATTAATTTATATATTATATGGGGCTTCTTAAATTTTTCGAATGTGTATTATCTTATAAATTTAGCGAATTATTAATTTAGCACGTTGTCCCCGAGTCGGGACCGGGAAAATTTATTATTTAAGCGAGGTTATTAATTTATCGGGTATTAATTTATCGAGGTTCTACTATAAATTGAAGTTAAGATTTTGTATCAAGTGTGATTTCTCAATAATATCCTGGTTGAACAATAATTATATCATACTTTCGTATTCTATCCACTTCCAACAAAAATATAGTTAAACTATTAATTTTATTGGGCTATTTGTTAAATACCCGAGATTTTACTTCTTGATAAATCTTTAATTTGTAATTGGTATTTAACATAAATCTATTGGGCCTAAAAAACCTTATATACCCCCACTAGTTAGATAATTATTTTAAATAAATAATATGGTGAATTAAATGCAGAATCCCTTGCAAAATCACGTTACCTAAAAATCCTCCTAATATTTCTCTCCCCAAAAGACTTCCAATATTTCTCCATCTCTCCACAAATCTCGCCCCCAACTTTCCCAGTATCTCAAAAATCCATTTCATCTTTTTTCTCTTGATCTCCAAATACTGCATCAATGGCTTCACGTTTATTGTAGGAAAATCAATTATTATTTTTGGACAAAAACTTCTTCTCTTTAGGGCAAACAATATACATATATTAGTTCAACATCACACAAGCTTTTTCGGTAAAAAAATGACGTGTATTACAGTGGAAACGGCAAAAGTCACTTTGTACAATAGTGGATTCAATAATATGGGAAGGTCAAAATCCATGGATTTGATAAGGGATGGGACAAACCACTCCGTGCGCGAAAACTACTCTATGCGCGAAAATCACTGTGTACAAAAACCACTCTGTGTGCAGAAATCTCTCTTACATTTGTTTAAGCATCAACACAACGTGTACAGTGCACCAGACACATACAAATTACTGTCAAACGTAAATCAATACAAAACCTCACATATAACTCATCTCAAATTCTCATGTGAGCCGAAAACCACCATGCGAATCTGCACAGCCGCCGCTTATCCAATGACACAAAGAGATGATTATTTATGTGAGCTACAATTTCGATTCCACATAAATGGAAATGTGCAATTACTAAGCGTTAATGGTGGAATTAATTGGGAAAATGCTCATTAAACTATTTATATAGAAGATATTATGTATCTTCTCTAATAACAGATATTAAAAATACGTATATTAATTAGTTAGGTGTATAATAGTGATAATTAAGGGTTTTTAATTAATAAAAGCTCTTTTGAATTTATCTTAAAAATGACAAATAAATTTGGGCCTAATGTAATAATGCTTGTATAATGGGGGGTTTTGTCAAATTATCCCAATTTTAGTTAGTGGTGTCAATTAATTAAATTCACGGTTCATTCAGCACAAACTGTATTACCTGCCCGAAACCACACAAACTACGGCTATGTTTGATAGAATTAAGTGCTGAACGCTGAATGCTGAATACACATCTGAATGAGTAAGAGAGATGTTTGAACGCTGAATACCAGCCAATTAAATTTGTTTGTTAACTCAAAGCTTATTATGTTTGAATAGTGTGATTTTACTACATTGTCCTTAAAAATTGTTAATAAAATGTTTATTTACCATTTGAATTATAAAAAAAAATATATAACTAAATATATAATCTTTTTAATTCATTAGATCACATGTTTCATTTGATGAAAATCAATATAACTGAGTTAATACTAATTCTTCATTAATGACACATATAGATAGGAAAATATATTACTTTAATATAAATAAAAAAATATGAAATAAAAGGATCTATTGAGAAAACATAAGAATAAAATATTTAAATTTGCGTTAGCTTAAAAATTATAAAAACTATTTTACATCTTTGCACCATCACGCAGACACACCCATACAACTTATCTAATCGGAAGAAATTTATAGAAGAAAAGATAGATGGGTTGAGACTTGAGATAGTGAAATTTATTGGGGATAAATTAGTCATAAATGCATTCAATGTACAACTGAATGAATAATCCAAAATTTCTGACTGAGCCAATAAGCACTGCTTCAATCAGATCTTCCTATCAAACACACTGACTACGGTAGTGCTTACCGAATTTGTGTGTGTGTGTGTGTGTGTGTGTGTGTGTGTGTGTGTGTGTGTGTGTGTGTGTGTGAATCTTAATTTTTATTCTTAATATTGTTTTTTGCTTTCCATGTGTTCTAACTTCTAACACGTTTCTGGCCCCATCAATATTTAATCCGACGCTACACGATACTCGCTAATTCACTAAACACGACGATTTAACAAGCTCGGAATTTTTAAACGACTTAATCGAGAAATTGACAAAACTGTCCCTTTTGGAAGCTCACTTCCAGATTAGTCTATTAAGAAATATAATGTAAAAAAAAAAAAAAATTAGAAAAATCTACTTGAGCTTTTCATCTTTCCTCGTATGTTTTAACCCCCGAGATTTCTTACAAGGATAGTTGCCATTGTTTGCAGTGTTTGCGTACAGTCAACTGTTAGCGAATACTCATCTACTTCTTCTTCTTTGATTTGCTGGACTGAGATTGAGTATATGCAGTACCCTGAACATTATATAGATACAGAGGTGGTCAAGAATAAACTCAATATTTCATTTTAAATAGAGTCGTGAATTTAAAGTGTTAATATTCGTGCGAACCTGCAACCACTCATCCATCGAGGCATCAGTTGTTCCGGTTCCAACTTCCACCTTCGAAACCCTCTTCGTTTTCTGCACATTAAACAAATGCCTTAGTTCGAGAGGCTTTGACCGCATATTCAATCTTATTACAAGTCAAACCAAAATGTGGTAGTTTCAAAGACTGTATTTAATATTGACCGCTACGAAGAATATTTCCATAGCTATACGACAATCACCAGCATTATTTAATGATTTTTGTAGCGAGAAAAATATAGAGGAAACTTGGAATGTGATACATTTTGCAACTTCCGCAGCATTATGAACACATAGTATAAGTGCAAAAAGAGTAATTACCTTTGACAGTTGTTGAATTTGGCCGCGAACCCAAACTCCAAGAAGACCAAGAAGAGCTACACCAAGGCAAAACAAGAAAACTGATTCAACGCTCAGAAGACCGCCTACTTCAGCAACTTCGATTGTTCCATTGTAGAAGGTACTCTGGTAAGGTTGTTGATCAATCTCATAAACAATAGTCCCCGCAAGATCATAAGCACCAGGCTGTACGACAAAAAAGAATATGTTAAAAAAAAAATCATGAAATGACTTCATACAAGGATGTAGTACGATATTTGAATGGTATAGCTCTACAGTTTAACAAGCTTACCTGTAAGAACTTGCTCACACCAAATATATAAGGAAAAGTTGCTTGAGCTGATGGAGGAACTGATGCATTGTTGAAAGCCTAGTAAAACAAAATATATCGATCATTCTCATAAATATTGAAAAATATTATCATGTCAGCAGGAAAATAAATTTTTAGATGTACACGGCACTTGTTGATCCATCTTTTCTGTGTGAGGGGAAACAAGGAGACCTCTTACAACTAGCACTCATCAGAAACGGTAATATATAATAAGCATTTGCAACATGCAACACTGACTAAAGAATCATAAAAACTCACCACCAAGTGAAGGGAATAAAGCAGATGCTACTAAGGAAAAACATCATGGCATATCAATTTCCAGTATTTATCTTACTCCTTTCCAGCCACAGAAAATCATATTTTAGAAATCATTTATATTTTTTATGGAGTACCAACTCCCAAGGCGAGAATACCTATGAGTTACTTTTACATCAAACTATTCGGTCTTGAAGCCAAAACAAAATGTTTTTTTCTTTATAATTTTATTATGTCAAAGAATGGTAAATTTTTTGATAAGACGGGTGATAAAATGCTCGTGAGAAGCTAGGACATTGGCCCGTTACTGAATGAGTTTAATCATTAATTTAAAGAAGCTCAACATAGTTTTAAGATAATTGACCACATAGTGTAGTGAGGTGAATGAATTTATACTTCTGAACGTTGGTTAATGTACACAGCACAGATCTGGAATAAAACTTTAACAGCACAAACATCATGTAAGAAAGTCAGCAAGAAATACCTGGGTAGAGAGGTTCTGAATCAAGTAGTGGTGATCAAATGGAAGATATACACTGGCCTGGATTGCGATAATGTTTATAACCGATTGCCCTGCAATGATTATCGAAAACATTAGCTCTACAAAAATCCACGAGTTTATGATTAAATAACAACTAACATATGCCTAACAAGAATAGTAACTGAAGAACATACTACTACAACTTATGCCATACTGACAAATTTAGACACAAAATCAATGGGGGGCAGCTTAAAGAGAAGTACACACGAGCAAAATAATTAACTAGGTTTCATGAATACCAAAAAAAAAAATATTGCCAGAGTCATTCAAGAAAGGCTTACCATCATTTTTTATTCCAACAAGAAGTTCACTTTCTTCTCCAGCTGATATTACTGAAAAAATGAAAAAAGGGCAAGTTTGAGACACAAATCTAATTATAATAGACGAAAATTGAGGTACGATGAATTTCAGAATAGAGATATAGAAATAAAACTAAAATTGTAAAAACTTACACTTAGAGGGGTTTTTGGGAAAAACGCAAACGGTTTCCACACCAGCAGCTGGGCTAAAGTTGCCCCCAGAAAAATCTTGTACATCATCATTAACAATCCCAAGATCCCCTCCATCCTCAGACGAATCAACGTCTGCATCAATATCTGGCTCACATCTTGCAACTATCAACCCAAAAAAAATAAAAAATTTAACGAGCATATATCAATCGAGTTTCCAATATGGCATGCTTAAGATAAATTCAGTATCCATTAATGTAAAATTTGAATCTACATTTCAAAAAAATAAAAACAGGAAACGATTAAATCAACTCCGCGTTACACTGGGTCAGTAATAGATCAGTTAAAAGAACTGAAAACTGACGATAAAAGTCAGCAAACAGTTTTTATACATAAATGCAACAAATGTTTCTGGCTACGATATAGACATTTTTTCCAATAAATTTAGGTACATTCCAGTTGCAGAGGGGCGATTAAATAAATCATCAGCGTGCATTCAACAATGCTGAATAATATATAAATTTTAAATTCCATAGGTTTTTAGCATGGAATCAATTCCCCCCATTCCCAAATTAAAAATGGAAACCCTTAAAAAACCCACCAAAAGCAATTGGGGGGGGGGGGGGGGGGGGGGGGACAACCATCAGAATCCAAACTAAGAACAGAATCCTAAATTCAAACAGCAAATTGACCTCGATCCGATCGGGTAAATCTAAATTCACGCAGCAAATTGAAATTTGCGTCCATATGCATGATTACGGAGATACAGAAATAAATCAAATACCAATGTTGAAAAATTTAATCCAAAATTCGCCCAGGAAAAAACAAAATCAAGCAAATAGAAAAACTGGAAAATTGAGCGTTGAAAAAATGAAATGGATCTGGATCTGAGATGCATACCTTGTAGGAAAGATGAGGAGAGAAGCAGCAGAGTTAGGATCAAAAAAGCCCTAATTGTCATTTTCATTTCTTTATAGCAGGCTTTGCCCTAAAATGACAGAAGAGAGAATCAGTTTTGAGTGAAGCTAGAGAGAGAGAGATGAGAGAGAGAGAGCCTCTTTATTGCGTGGACCAAAGATGAAACAGGAAGGGTAAAATAAGGAAATCCTTTCAGGGGGACGAGATGTGTAAATTTAATATTTTAGAGGGTTAAGGTGAAATTATTTTATTTTTTGGAGGTGAATGTGAAAATATAAAGAACACTAATTTCGGACAATTGAGATAATCTGGTTAATGTTTGACCAACGTTACGTGGACTATATTTGTAATTTGGGTCAATTCTATCCTACACCACTCCATATATACTGATGTGAATGGTATAAAATTATCTAATGTATTTCACTAAGTATAGCAGAATATGAATATTTAATTTGTATGATGAATTGCATAACTGAAATGCTAATTGTAGCGAGACTTTTACTGAAATTGACTTATTTGCAGCGATACCTTTTCATTTCAACTTTTCAAACTTTTTGAAAAACTCAAAACGCTCTCAACTAAAAAAAGTCGAGAATTAAGATTTTCGACTTTATTTGATGAATCGACTGCCCGACGACAACATATAACACTATGGCCGATTCTGACGAGTTTTACGAGGTAAATCGAAGAAAGTAGCGGATTTTTTTAGTTTTTCGTCGGGTCTACCGTGCTGTGTAGCACGGGAATCCCAAAAATTAGGGATTCCCGTGTTGTACAGCACGGGAGAATCAAAAAAAAAAAAAAATGAAACTATAGTTCCCGTCTTGGGGAGCACGGGAATATCGTGCTCCCGTGCCTTCGAGGACGGAGGTTTGCGACTCCCGTGCCCTGGCGGACGGGTACAGTGGACCACCGTGCCCTCCGGCACGGGAACAGTGGACCACCGTGCCCGCCGGCACGGGAACCCGTAATAAATTATTATTTTTTTATTTTTTTTTTGTTATTTATATACTAATTATTACTTGTTATATCTTACTAGGGTACTGAAGGTGATTTTGACGATGACTTTACAACTAATCGTGACAAAGCGTACAACGAGTACGAGGATCCCAACATGTGTTTCGATGTTCCTCAAGACACACCAACAACTTCTGAGGATCACAGTCAACATTTCAATGTAGGTGTTGAGTTTGAAACTGGGAAAGAATTAGTGGAATGGGCAAAAAAAATGGCTGCTACTCATGGTCATCGATTGATAGTAACTTCAAGCAAGAAAAACGTGTATATAGTAATTAGATGTCATTTGTCTGGGGAGGGACGTGAAAAACGAACCGTAGGTGCGATACCACGGAATGTGGGAACAAAAAAATGTGGATGTCCTTTTCGTATATACTGTAGCAAAAATTCAAACGATGGACTATGGCGAATGAATTTAAAAAGTGGCACTCACACTCACCCGACACTACCGTATCCTACCGGACAAGGACCGGATAGTCGTTTGACACCAGAAGAATACGAGGTAGTGAAGTTACTTAGAAGGAGCCACGTGAAGCCGGCATTAATTATGGATCGATTGAGAAAGGATAATCCACAGACATCAACGAGTGTGAAACACGTCTACAACCAACTTGAGAAGATGAAAAAAGAGAATATGGCGGGGAAGACTGTGATACAACACGTGATGTCGAACCTTCAAGAATCTGGATATGAATATTGGTATCGAAGTAATGAAGGTGATGATACACTTACTGATTTGATGTTCGCTGCTCCTATTTCGTTGAAACTTTACCGGTTAATTGTCCTCTACCACCTATCACTCCACAGTGGCGACATGTTAGAGCCGCAAATCTTGCCCACTTGTCGGAAATGTTCGAAGAACGCCTATACATGTGGCGTCGTTTATCTAAGTTGGGATAGGTTTCTTATTTTAGTTGGTATGTATTTGGACCTTGTATTATTTTATTTTAGTTGGTATGTATTTGGACCTTGTATTATTTTATTTTAGTTCGTATGTATTTGGACCTTGTATTATTTTATTTTAGTTCGTATGTTTGGACCTTGTATTATATTATATTATGTTGGTTGGAATGTATTTGAAATTAAACCCAAAACAAAAATAACATAAATAAAAATAGTCAAACAAAAATAACATAAATGTCAGACAAATACAAAACAAGAAAAAACAAATAAATGTCAAACAAATACAAAACATAGTCAAATGTCAGAAAAAACAAATAAATGTCAAACAAATACAAAACATAGCCAAATGTCAGAAAAAACAACTAAATGTCAAACAAAAGCCGTCTACTGTCTACCCCTAGACCTCCTCGAAGTGCCACTCGTCCCACCCGGTCGCCGACGCGGTGGTGGCATCTCCATAAAGTCGTCGTCGTCGGAATCTCCAGTGGGGGATAAACCTAGAAAACGTGCATGTGGCTCCACACGAGGCTGTAACTGGACACGTAGATGCTGGGGTATCTCGTGCATGTGCGGATGGATGATACGCACAATGTCATAAAAGTCCGGCTGAATAGGAGGGGGGCGTACGACTGGCGGTGGTCCTTCTGGCGCTGGATCCCGGTTGATCACGTACTGATGAGTACGAGGAACGTACCACTCCATGTACCGAGTGGCAGTCTCAGACGGCGGCCAGACTAATGTCCTACCGTCCAACGTAATCGAGCTGGTAGCCAGGTCCATCCACTCCTGCCCTGGCGGATCATACCGTACCTGGTATGTCTGTCCTCCAAGCGGACCACGTAGGCACGGCTCTCTGGACTAGATGTAGCACTGCAGTATGGTCTGTCTAAAACCAAACTGCCGAAGGACGCGATCCGGTAAATATGGCTCGACAATCTCCATAAACTGTATGCACCCATAATATAATGTACGCGGAACGCGTCTATGTACGTGCGGCCCGTAAGGCATCCAGTCAATCTGGAAAATTCGATTAACGTAATAAAAATTACATTCACATAATAATTAATAATAAATAAATTCAACAATTAAAATACATACCTGATCGGCCTGCATATCATCAAGCATCCTTCGGACCGAGAGCAAGTCCGAAATACCCTTGCGTGGTTTCCATTTCAGGAAACGAGGCTGCATCTCCCTATAATCCGAATTAATAGGTGCTCGGAAAGGGCGAAAGTACTCGTAAATCCAGCACTACAAATAAACGAGACTATATTAAATTAATATTATATTAAATCACAATATATTATATTAAATTAATGTACTGTTGAGGCTATATTATATAACTACCTACGTTATACTAATTATAATAATATATTATATTAAATTATAGTATATTATATTCAATTAATATATTATTAAACATAATCTATTGAGTATAATATATTATATTAAAATTTTACTTAAATACCTGGAGCAGTAACGTGCAACCCTGTAACCCCTTCACGTGGGTACTACTAGCCAAGCCCAACTGTCGGTATAAATGAGCCAATACAGCTGCACCCCAAGCATACTCGCCGACGTGCTCGAGATCGAAAGAATATCTCATCCACGTTGGCTTGAACCTGTCTACACTCCGGTCGGGGAACAAAGCCATACCGATCAAAAACGTCAAATATCCTACCACCTTCTGCCGACAAGTTCGGGACCGACTGCGCACACGCTCCACAAACTCCGACCATTTTATCCCACTATTGCCGAGCTTGGCATGCGCTTCGACCATGTCCACATCAAGAACCTCAGCTAGCAACAGCTCACACATAGGCCTCTCCTCAACAGAATCACCGTGCACCGCTAGACCGTCAACACGCAACCCCAAAATCAAATGGACATCGTGTAGGGTGATCGTCATCTCACCCCAAGGCATGTGGAAACTGTTCGTTTCCGGCTGCCACCTCTCTATAAATGCCCCCATGAGTCCCTTGTCTACATTTTTTATGTAGAAGTACTCGAGTGAGTCTAGGCCAGATGCCTCCAGTAGCTCTAACTCATCCTGCCCGTAAGGAGCCATGAGTTGCTTCAACTCATGTTTCTTAAAAGCATTAAGCGCAGTAATCCTTGACTCACATCGCCCCACGCTGCGCTCCTGTAGAATTTCTAATTTAATTAGACAAAATATATTAAAATAAATATATTTAAAATATATAAAAATAAATATATTTAAACTTACATGTCCTGCCCAAATGTAGTAGGCAATATGACTCTTGAAACTAGGAATCATCCTCCAATCAGTCGGTCCTCCTGGAGCCGGACCATGTAACTCAAGTGGGCCACTGAAAGTGTCAAACTCGTACCGAGACTTCCGTGAGCGCGCGGCCGGGACGGGAACATCATCAAAATCGCTCTCAACATGGTCATACTCCTCCTCGTGTCCCTCGTAGGGGATACGAGAATCTGCCCCTACAGATCGAATGCTATCCGCCATAGATCTAGAACTATGATCTATGTGGGGAATCTCGTCCACGACGGGTAAATCAGTGTCGCGCTCCATAACTCTCCTACGACGATGAGATGCAGTCATACGAATGCGCTCCGCTTCCGCCTCGGCTTCCGTCGCGCCTTGCCCGCCATACCGAAATTTAATCTTCGGAAATTTATCCGAACTCGAAGAAGAACCCATAAGCCCTTTCCCCTTGTCCTGACGTGCCATCTGTAAAAGATAAAAAAAAAAAAAAAAATAATAATTATAAAAAAAAAAAAAAAAAAATTAAAATAAGTTTGAATTTCCCGTTCTGTTGAACACGGGAACTTGAAGATTCTTCAAGTTCCCGTGTTCTGCGGAACGGGAAACTCAAAATTTTTCAAGTTCCCGTTCCCCAAAACACGGGAAACTCAAAAATCTTCAAGTTCCCGTGTCCTTCAAGACGGGAAACTTTAAATTTTTTTTTTTTTTTTTTTTTTATTTCGGAAAATTTAAATTTACAAAACAGTTTGCAACTCCCGTGTTGTAAAGAACGAATAGTTGAAAAAACCGTGTTCTGGGGCACGGGAACTTAAAAAACTTTTGTGTACCAGTAGAGAAAAAAACAGATCATTTATAAATGGTACTACTACCGATATTGGGCGACAAAATCATAAAGAGGACCAAAAAGAACACGTAATAAAGATTGACAATTATACAAACACATTGTATACCTGTTGGTACACATGGACCGTGTTGAAGCCGACCTAGGTGACGCTCTAAGTGCTCCAGAACACGGGTGCCGTAAGAAAAAAAAAATTTTTCCGAAATTTGCTAGATCTATTCCTAAACACGTGTTTTTACCTAAATTGGAAATAAAAATAATTAAAAGTACTAGGAAATCGAAAACTTACCGGAATCGAGCCTCGTTTGTACGGTTTGAATGTCGAAAAATTTTACGAAATTCAAATTTCTAGAGAGTGTTTGGGAATAGAAGAGAGAAATTGAAAGTTGGAAAAATTAAAATGAAAAAGGTACCGCTGCAAATAAGGCAATTTCAGTAAAAGTCCCGCTTCAAATAGTAACACCCATTGCATAATTATGTATGGCATATTGCATAAAATTATTATTATATCAATCCCATTTTAAGTTGCAAGTGTTGGTAATTTGTGACATAATTATTACTTTTTGCAATAAAATTGTATTAGATAGATAATAAATCAATCTAATTCATTAATATTTTGTGTGTAAATTAATACGAACAATAACATTATAAATAAATTATTTTGAATATTTTAATAATGATCGAATATTTTACTAATTAAATAATTAATCTGACTCTAACGAAACTTGGTGATTCAAGTTGGATTATAAAGTTAACTCAAAGAATAATGAATTCCGTGTTTTGAATTTTGCCGAATTCAGCCTTGAAATTTGAAAATGATGAAAGTCACATTTTAAATCGAAACAATATTATGAAAACTGAAACGACATTTATCAAATTCATTTGCAATAATACATTATCATTTTACTAAAAATGTTTACAGTGTGGGCTTTGGCCTGTTATTTTTTTAATAGGCCCAGCATAAGTTGATAATGATGGTCTACGATTCATAATATGGCCCATATACTATAGTAAAATACGAATCTAAACTCAAATACTTTGATGTTTTCCCCGTATTTATAGTTTATTTGATGCTACACCCAAAATATAGTGTGAGTAGTTATTAATTATTGATCTGTATATAATCGAATATACACCAATGTGTAGAATTGCTTTGCGGAAAATTATTTTATCACATCAATGGTTAAAAATCACTCGATGTATTTCACAGATTGTACGTTTCAGTAACCGTTATTTATCCACTCAAATTGAATCCGATTTTGCTATCTTATATAATAATAATAAATAAAAACTCATGCTTGCATTTAAATTTGTTATAAGAAATTATGAATGAAATTTGGAATAAAATTTTCGATTTCAACTTCTGATTCGAATATTTTTTGTTGGAACTTTTTTTTAGTACCAACTCCAAAGTTTCCGATGTTTCGTTTTTCTTGAATTTGAATTAAAATATATCTCTGATACAATTTTAATTTTTAACAAAACATAATTCAAAAATTCCTTTTTTCCCCTCTCAATTGTGTAATTCTATTTTTATCATACGTTAACAATAAAATATAATTTTCGAATTCATGCCGATTTTGATCCAATTCCGATTTTGGAACAAAATTTCCAATGCCAATTTCGAAAAATTCGATTCTCGATTTTCATTTTTTTTTCTGGAACAAAATTTTTGTATTACTATATATGTGGCTTGTGGGGTACATACAAAAATTAAATATATAATTTTTTTTTCGAACATAACTAAATATATATATTTTTTGTAATCAATATCAAAAAAAAAAGAAAAAAAAAAAGAAAAAAGAAAAAAGAAAAAGAGAACCACATATATAATAAACAAATAGTTGAGGGGCTGACAGAAAAAGTCGACACCAGTGTGGTATTGGAAGTGGGGATAACGATAGAACCCCACTCTCTCTCCCCCCATTGCGATGTCGTCTAGGCTTAGCACTGAAATCCACAAATTATGAATTTCCCCCAATTTTTTTTTAATTTTTAATTTTAATCAGCAATAATTTCTGAATAAATCTTCACCTGTGGATCAAACGGAACTTCGATTAGCTTCTCCACTCGCCCCAACTCTCGGATTGCAGGTCAGAAACCCTTTCATTTTTCTTGCAATTTCATTATCTCATATGTAATTTTTTTTTTCCGAGCAATTATACATGCTGAAATCGGTGGATTGTGTGTGAAATTGTGTGAATTTTAAGAATTATAACTATGGAGTTATGAATATCTGCATTCAGCTTCTGTATTGTATTTTTCTTCAGTTCATCCAATTTCATGAGTCTGGTTAGGTAATCCAATGCACAATTACTTGTGTGTTGTAATCTCCACATTTTATTGCTTAATTTTTGGTGTAAAGGGTGTTTAATCAGCAAAATACTCATTTTGCAGAAATTCCACGAATTTCGTGTTATCGGAAAGTATTTAGCTGTTGATAATCACGATCATCATCATCCACTTATTAGCTTTATTTTCAGGTGACTTATGAAAAATAAAAAATGGTAGTACTTCTTACAAGATCGAATCGAGTTTGTTACGTGTCCGTTTAACTTCATTTTTTTCCTTAAGTGAGTTCATGCTGTAAATTTCGATTGTTTTTTAAGATATGTTTATTTCGGCTAATGGGAATCACTCGTTTTGTGTATCCATCATTTGGAATTAAGAAGTTTTGAATTTTACTCGTGCTGCTGTTTCTTCAATCTTCATTCAGTTTATGTTGACAAATATGAATTAGCTTTTGTGTTAGTATAAGTAACAGAATATATATGTATATATATATATATCATCACGGCTTCAACTGATTCATCGATTTATTTCTTCTTCACCTTCTTTTGCATGTTTGTTCTTGATTTAAGGATGGAAGCAGAACCAAAGAACTCCAATACTGCAAGAAAAGTTCAAAAAGCTGACCGGGAGAGATTGAGGAGGGACCGTCTAAATGAGCAATTCACTGAGTTGGGAAATGCCCTCGGTAAACTCTCCCTTCGGTTATAATATTGTATATCATTGTTTTTTTATTATTTTTTTATTGAAACTACTGTGATCTGTTGTATCTTGCAAATAAAAAGAATATTTGAAACGAGAAGCACTGACGGGCCCAGTAGCCGTTTTACCGGCCATAGAGTACAGTGGACTTAAAGTCTACATCAGTAATTAGTGACAATTGCTTTTCTTGAAAATTAATTGGATCTCTAATTAGTCACATTACAACTTTTCGGTGCTGTTCGTTTGACCATCGTATTTTTAGCGCTGGATCTTTTCGCCAAGTGCTGGAACATCTTACACATTCGGTGGTTAAGTGGAAGTTTCTGAATAACTCGTTGCCATTGTTTGCAGATCCAGACAGGCCTAAAAACGACAAAGCTTCTATTCTCGGTGACACGATTCAAATGCTGAAGGACTTGACTTCCCAAGTCGACAGACTAAAGTCCGAGTACTCAGCACTTACCGAAGAATCTCGTGAGGTGATATTCTTGAAATTCAATGATTTACTACACACATACCGTTTAAAACAAGATTTTCACCATTTTTTTAAAAACAAAAATTCCCCAAGCAGTTGACTCAGGAGAAAAACGATCTCAGAGAAGAAAAGGCATCTTTGAAATCCGATATCGACAATCTCAACGGCCAATACCAGCAGAGAATGAGGGCCATGTACCCATGGGGTGGGATGGACCATTCCATGGTCATGCATCAATCTTCGTACCCATACCCAATGCCAGTACCTGTACCTACAGCTCCAATTGCCATGCATCCATCCATGCAGCCTTATCCATTCTACGGGAACCAAAATCCAGCTGTCGTACCTAATCCATGCTCTACTTACGTGCCTTACATGACCCATAATACCATGATTGAACAGCACGTGTCGCAAGGCGTAGTGCAGCAGCAATGTACGAGGTCTCATGCTTCGAGCAGACAAGAACCTAGACATAAATCTTCGGATGGAGAGAGTAGAATCGAGAAAATCGATGATTCGAATGACATTACAACGGATTTAGAGCTTAAAATACCCGGATCTGCTTCCGAACAGGTGAATAATTCGGCTTTATTTGAGATTTTATTAATCCAATAATTTTTTCAGGCGACCCAAAAATTTTGGAAAGAATGAGCTTTATCGTGTTATTTGGACCCTCGTAGTCCAATTATGAAATGGGCTCTTATAAAATAGCAAATTATTATCTTTGACTAATCATATCCTGGCAACCAAACAAGTCGTAAGTTAGTACTAGGTTGTTCTATACCTTTTATCTTGGTTCGGGAAATGGTATATTGAACCCTCGTAGTCCAATTACACAATTGGGCTCTCGTAAAATTGCAAAATCTTATCTTTGACTAATCCTATCTTGGCAACCAAACAATTTGTAGGTCAGTATTAGGTTCTATACCTTTTATCTTGTTTATCGGGAAATGGTATATTGGACCCTCGTAGTCCAATTACACAATTGGGCTCTCATAAAATTGCAAAATCTTATCTTTGACTAATCCTATCCTGGCAACCAAACAAGTCGTAGGTTAGTACTAGGTTGTTGTAATAACTTTTTTGGAACTGATTGTCTGATGGTGGCATTTTTTTATTGCAGGATTCATCGTCGAAGCAAAGGAAAGCCAAGAAAATGGTCAGGAAGGAAGCAAGCCTGACGGAAGGAAGTTCTTCTAGCGGATGCTCCTCAATTCACAGTGTGCAGGCTATCTCGTCTAACAGTATCGTTGGCGGCAAAAAAGTAAATGACTGACAAAAAGGAAAGGGAAGTGTTACCACTACACCATTACAGTATTTTGTATCTATATTTAACTCTCGCCTCGTGCTTTTAATTGTCAATTTGTCTTATGTGTACTAGTCGGTACTGATACTGATTTCGTCGCCGCAAATTGTCTATCAGCCCCTTTGTTCCATATCAAAATTAACCATTTCTTCTTACACACGAATATCTATGCCACTTCGTCTTGCTCTAAAGCGGAAACACTTTGTTAATTTTATTTATTTCTTCTCATATATTTTTTATGTTGCATCTCCTGCTGTTATATAGGGTGACAACATAAATATGTCCGAGAAACGGATCCCTGATCCACCTATACATCAAATTGGTCAGTGCTTTCGATTGTCCTTTTTTTTTTTTTTTTTTTTTTTTTGCTTTAAATTGGGATATGATAATTATCATTACCGTTTCGACATCAAACGTGATTTTGACCATTTTTTAGTCTGAATTTGCAAAACTCAAAACTTGAGATTTGCAGTTATTCGAGTTAGCTTTCTAATACAATTTGAATCACCAAGATTGGATGTCGGGGGAGAAAGATATGCATGATTCAATAAACACAATAAACACTGCCCACAACTTCAATGTTTTGAGTTGTTCAAAAATTCACAATGTAACTTTCTCATGCATAACTTTGTCACCCAACCCATTCGATTCAAGTTGAATTAGAAACCTATCTCAAAGGACCACAATTTTTGTGTTTTACATTTTGTCGAAATCAGAATAGAAAATGGTCAACGTCACGCTCGAAATCAAAGTCAAAACAATATTAGTAAAATTGAAACCACATTTAATATTTCAGTTTAACACCGCAGCTGCGGCGAGAATTAGATGCCTCGTATTCTTCGATAATGGCTAGATTTACTATTAAGTATTAGTAAAGAGTACACAATAATTCAACAATAAAGCAAATTGAGAAGAATCCACACTCAAAGAATATATGCCAAAGCCATGTTCTTAATAAAGCTACTCCTACATATATATTATATATTACCACACCATTTAGAAAAAAAAAACATAAGAGAGAAAGAAAAATGGATTGGATTCATACAAAGAGAAGAGGTCCACAATGGAAACAAGGTTGGACAGAACAAACTTTTTCTTCCATTTCTGCCCCTCCTCTCCCACTTATTGCAGTTTTTGCCATTGTAATTTTCCTATTATCTATATCTAGTTACTCTTCTTACAAAGAGCAAATGAGTTCCACACTCATCAATTTCAAGATTCTGCTCTTTTTGGCGTCCCTTTTGCTCGTTTTTTTCGTTCGTTCGAGTTTGTTCGATTTTTGGACATCTTCACAAAACGGGCAGCGGCAGGTGAGGTGGCAGTGGGCCCATGTGGTGGCGGGGTTCCCGTGGGGGGTGGCGGCTCTGGTGGTGGTGCTGCTGGTGTTGGTGTCTTACCAGTCAACTTTTCATTCTAAGTGGTTTCCTTTTGGGAGTTCTGATTAATGTATTTTGACTTTGTTGTTGAAAATTATTCTAAACTATATATTTTTTTTCAAGTGATTGTGCTCAATTACAAAATCATTCCAATGAAGTGATTTGCAATTCAATACCTTTATATTATGATATCAAATACACTTAACGCTCTATAAATTAATACATTCGGAAATAACAAAATTCTATTAATTTAAGGATAATATTAAATTATCGAATTAATAATTCAATATGTTTTCACCAAGTCGGGACCAGAAAGAATCATTCTTTAAGCAATATTGTTAATTTATCGATTATTAACTTAATAACCTCTATGAATTAATACAATCGGGACTAACAAAATTATATTAATTTAACGAAATATTAAATTATCAAACTAATAATTCAATATGTTTTCACCAAGTCAGGACCAGAAACTAGAAAGAATCATTATTTAAGTAATATTATTAATTTATCGATTATTAACTTAATGAGATTCTACTGCACTTTATGTAATAGTAAAAGTACATTCAAATAAACTTGAAGCATAAAACCATGTAAAAAAAGAAAAAAATATATACATCGACTATGGTTAGACTAAATGCCCGTTTTACTAAATTTATTTTAAACAACCGATAAAATTTATCTGAATAAGTAATTTTAAGATTACTAAAATAAATATTTATTAACCAAAATAAAATAATTAAAAAAAAATTGCTCTTGAATTTCATGCCCATCGTCCATCTCTACATATATGATTTATATATAATTATATATATAGTACAGACTCTTTTTCCCATGTCACTCTCAGAGGCTCTAATAAGGCGACACGTGTACAAGCTGACCCGTCACGTAAAACCTGTACTATTATTATTGCTGCCGATCTCGATTCCCGATGCAATTCCGCCCCTCCGTTTTCCCAATTTCTCACACACACACAGTAAAAAACACACTGACACACACTACTGAGTGAGTGGGTTTCACGTACAACCCGTGAGCTGTGTGTGCCAGCTCGCACACATCACACACACACAAATTTCACCACCCTTGTGTGCTTGATGCATGTTACATGGGCTTTGATTGATGTTTTTGGACTCATACAAATTCTTCAAATATTTAATCGCCGGAGTCTGATTTTTTTTTTTCTATTGATACAAGTTTGCTTCCGTTCATCCGTTCGTAATTAATTCTTCCCCGGATTCGAATAAGTTCCTGTAAGTGAAACGATTCTGGTTTTTAAATCCGTGTTTTCGTTTTTTTTAATTATTGGGGCTGGTTGATCGATTTCTGGGTTTCGATTGTTGCGTGTTTTATTATATCGATGTTCTTCGTGTTCTTATTTTTAGGGGATTATCTCGATATTAATTGTGTCTTGTTATTTGATTTTTTCTGGAAATAATGAAATTATAAATGTTTTTAATTTTTGTGTGCAATTTGTTCATCTACCCTTGTATTTACTGTGTTTGGTTTATCACCTTCACTGTGTGTGAATTAAATAGTGTTTACTTAAATAGCTGAATTTTGTGGAAAAAAAAATGCAGATTATCGAAAAACTCACCGGTGGACAAAATCAGGACTTGCAGTTAAGGTGTTTGTGAAAATGTCTGCACTGACAGTAGATGTGCAACAAAATGGGAGTGTGCACGAATTGGAAGAATACGATTTTTCAAGATTACCCGATCGGCCAAGAGCTCTGAATCTCGAAAGACAAAGATCGTTCGATGAAAGGTCACTTACCGAAATGCCCCTGGGGTTATCCCCTCGTCCACCTTCTAGATCAGACAACTTTTCTCGAGCTTTCGAATATTTAGACAGCGCATTTTCACCTGGCAAAAGATCCGGTTTCAATACTCCGAGATCGCAATTCGGCTATGGTTTGACTTACGAGCCTCACCCTATGATAGCTGAGGCTTGGGATAATATACGACGGTCTCTGGTTTACTTTCGTGGTCAACCTGTTGGAACAATCGCTGCATTGGATAACTCTGACGAAAAGCTTAACTATGATCAGGTATATGTATGTATTGTGCGGTAGTATATTTCGTTTTCTATTGTTTTCTATCGTTGATATTTTACACTAGATCAAGAAAGTAAATGTTCCTTTACGTGTTGAGTTAGCATTTTTGTTACCCTGTTTGTTAAATTTTGATCAAAACAAGTCCAAAGTCCAAATGTTTAATTAACTCTGATGAAAAACTTAACTGCGATCAGGTGAAGGGGTCGGAACTCGTTTACTACTTTATTGATTAATACCAGCCTCTTCATCTCGATCGTGTTTCATATAAGTATTACTAATTCTTTTAAACTTGTACAGGTGTTTGTTAGAGATTTTGTTCCCAGTGCACTGGCATTTCTAATGAACGGTGAACCTGAAGTAGTGAAGAATTTTCTCTTAAAAACCCTTCGCCTTCAATCATGGGAGAAAAAAATCGACCGTTTCCATTTGGGAGAAGGTGTTATGCCAGCTAGCTTTAAAGTATTACATGATCCAATCAGAAATACCGAGACTTTGATAGCTGATTTTGGTGAAACTGCAATTGGTAGAGTGGCCCCCGTCGATTCTGGATTTTGGTGGATTATTTTATTACGAGCTTATACGAAATCTACTGGAGATAATTCATTGGCTGAAAAACCTGAGTGTCAAAAGGGCATGCGTTTGATTCTCAGTTTATGTCTCTCTGAAGGATTCGATACTTTTCCGACTCTTCTTTGTGCTGATGGCTGCTCTATGATTGATCGTAGAATGGTAAGTATTTTCGGTTCTCTTTTTTATATAAATTTATTTGCGGGTTTATGGATTCAGTCATTTTAGCATGAAGTTTCTTTTTGTTTTCTAATTGAGCTCTAAATTGGCTTTACTAAAGTTCTTAGGTTTTTTTTCTCCATTTTCTTCTCAGTTGACTTGTCCACTTGACTCATTTGTAAGCAAATTTATAAAACTGTTGAATTCCGCCTTACAAAAATTATTTTATTGCTCAAATTTTGCAGCGCTATTTTTAAAGATGTTTTTCTTCTTCTTTGAAATTGAGATCCCCATTGAGATCTATGTATGCAGTTTTGATATTTCTTCATTTAGTTTGCTATTTATGTCTTCAAGATCTGCAAATTTGCTGTTCGAGATACTCTTCAAATTAACCCGAAAACTATTGATAAACAGGGGAATAACCAATGTTATTTGCATTATTTTGTTCTTCGTTTTTGCGTACCAAATGGGCACATGTTTTCATTTCTGTCTTTATTTGTACGAATTTATTGCATTACTACCCCAATGCTTTATCACGGGGAGTTTTTTAATAGTAAACCCTTATTAGTAATCCTTTAAACAGTTTCTCAAATATTGTTGTTATAAAAAATGTTTAGGGTGTATATGGATATCCGATCGAGATACAAGCCCTATTCTTCATGGCTCTGAGATGTGCAATGCTCTTACTGAAGCATGATGGTCCAGGAAAAGAACTTATCGAACGAATCGTAAAGCGCTTGCATGCTTTGAGCTACCACATGAGAAGCTACTTTTGGCTCGATTTGAAGCAACTCAACGATATATACCGTTACAAAACCGAGGAATATTCCCACACAGCTGTCAACAAGTTCAACATCATGCCTGATTCTCTGCCCGAATGGGTTTTTGATTTCATGCCGTTACACGGTGGGTATTTCGTCGGTAATGTGGGCCCCTCGAACATGGATTTCCGTTGGTTTTGCTTGGGAAATTGCGTCGCTATTCTCTCTTCATTAGCAACGCACGAACAATCGATGGCTATTATGGATCTTATTGAATCGAGGTGGGAGGAGTTGGTTGGAGATATGCCGCTCAAAGTTTGCTATCCGGCTATTGAAAATCACGAGTGGCGAATTGTGACTGGTTGTGATCCGAAGAATACGAGATGGAGTTACCATAATGGTGGATCTTGGCCAGGTAATTTAAATATATATTTATATGTACTTTTTTAATGTGTTAAAATTGATTTTCAAGAAAATGTGGAAACGATCAACATCTTATGCTTCGTTTGGGAATGTTTATGGGATTGATAAGATTGTTAGATTGAATAAGAGTATGGTATAGTGAGATTATTGGTGTGAATAAAATATGGAAATGGCCATCTTAGGCTTCGTTTGGGAGTGTTGATGGGATTGATTAGATTGAATATGATCATGCTATTTGTGATAATGAATTATGATATTATCGGTGTCAAGAAAATATTGAAACGATCATCTTGGGCTTCGTTTGGGAATGTTGATGTGATTGATTAGATTGGATAAGTTTATGATGCTATTCATTATGTATTATGAGACTGTTTCATGTTTGAGGTTTTATGATTATAATTTAGTGTTTGGTAATAGGGTTACTCTTATTTTGTGTGTTGGTTAGTGTTCATATGCATGATAAATAACCGGGCTTAATTCTTTTTTTATTTCGGGCCGAAATCATTTTTCCCGAAAATTACTTTTGCATGATTAAATAATAACCACAAATCCAAACCGTTGGCTAATAATTACCATATTGCCACAGTGCTTCTATGGCTTTTGACAGCAGCATGCATAAAAACGGGGCGGCCCCAAATAGCTAGACGGGCAATTGAGTTAGCTGAAATGAGGCTATCGAAGGACAGCTGGCCAGAATATTACGACGGGAAGCTTGGAAGATACATTGGGAAACAAGCTCGAAAACACCAAACATGGTCTACTGCTGGATATTTGGTTGCTAAAATGTTGCTCGAAGATCCTTCGCATTTGGGTATGATTTCGATCGAGGAAGATAAAAATTTGAAACCCGTTCTGAAAAGATCGTCTTCTTGGACCTTTTGAATTTTTAAGACAGGAAAAAAAAATTGATTTTAGTTTTATGGCCAAGTGTTGAGAGAAATGTTTTTTCTTTCATATGCTTTGATTTGATTTTCTTTAATGTGGGACTTGGTAGTTTTTACTTCATTCTTTCTGTAGTTGTGTGGAAACTGGGAAACTGGTATTCAGTTTATATAATTAAAAATATGGATTTATAGTATATAAAATGACTATTTTGGAGGAATACCAAAATAATGGTCTATTGTTACTTTATTTTTTCTTGAAATCTTTCATATGTATATATTTTAGTTTTAATAAATTTAACACATTGAATAAATTTGTGTTAGTCGAAATCATTAAAATTAGTATTTATTGTTTAGACCCCCATCTAACAATTAAACACATCTCAATAAAATACACTCTATGCATCATTAATTTCATGAATTTACCCCTACTTGTGCATGCCATCCCACCGTTGACCGTACGCAATATTCGATTCTAAAATTAGGTATCCCATCAAATTCACCCCAACTTGTGCATGTCACATTTTTTTTTTGTAAATTACGGTCACCGTTCTGAAATAATATTAAATTACGAAAAAACCACTTTTGATTGGATAATTACAATCACTCTCTCAATTATAAATCTTCTTACACGTTCATTCTTGCGGGGTTAAATTTAGTGAATTTTTTTAGTTATGTGAAATATTCTCCTGTCTGTGGTTTGAAAGTACAAGGAGATTATGTACTTATATTGAAAGTACAAGGGTTGATGCGCACAAACTTCAAACTACAGGGGTTAAATGCTATTTAACCAAAATACAAAATGACGTTATTTAGCCAATAGCATCGAAGTACGTATATTGACTCTGAAAATATAATATTCAAAACATCAATTTCTTTTTTTTTTCTTTGAATAACCAAAACATCAATTTCAAAAGATCCAAAGCGTAATTGGTACTTATTTTTAATTTTTTGAAAATAGAAAAAAAGAAACAAATATATTTATTTATTAATAAAAAGAAAAGGAAATATAGTTGACTCATACTAAATTTCTTTTATTTATATTTATTTATTAGCCCAATAAAAAACAGTTTTCTCATCAAAACCCCTCCCTCACCGTTTTCCCCTTTTCAGCTCAAAGATTTTCCCCCAAAAATTGTCCATATTTTCCGGCGGAAAACCTAGCGAAATTAAATTGAATATCCCTGTATCTATATATCTATATATATATATATACTGATAAGTTTGCATTGCGGATATAGAATATGAGGGCACCAAAAAGGCCGATCCAGGCGGTGTCGACATGGGTCCGCCGGCAACCGCCGAAGGTGAAGGCGTTTCTGGCCGTGATTAGCGGCATGGCGGCGCTTGTTCTCCTTAGGGCAATTGTTCACGATCACGATAATCTCTTCGTGGCAGCGGAGGCTGTTCACTCTATCGGAATCGCCGTTCTGATTTACAAGTTGATGAAGGAGAAGACTTGTGCTGGTATGGTTTTTTGTCTGTTTGTTTGTTTTTTTTTTTTTTTTTTTAATTTTTTTAAAATTATTTATAATCGATTTTGGTTTTCAATTGGGTGTGATGGGTAGTGGGTAAAGAGGAAAGTTTGGATCTTTGAGAACTGCGGATTTAGGTATGAGGAAAAATTTGGGGATTTGAGAGCTGTGGATTTGGTGATGAGGTTATTTTCAGCTCTTGGAGCAAAATAGATTTCGTTTAAATTGAAAATTAGGAATTTTGTTTTTTTCTTTTTCCCCTTCAAAGTGGTTATCTTTGAAGTTAATTGTGGCATTATTTAATTTGTTATTTCTTTCAACTATTGGTTATTAGTGATTGTGGAATAAAAATCTTGAGAATTTACGAAATTTGGAGCGGTTGGGTGAGATCTTGTTTTAACTGTTTGGATTTTGGAAAGAGGATGTGTTGATCAATTTGTTTTAATTGTTCTGTTAATTGGTTTCTTTTTCTGGTTTTAGTGAAATGTAGCTACATTATCAATTGTCGGAGTCGAAAGATGGGATTGTAATATATTAATTGTACTTGTTAAAAAGAACCAACTGTTACCCATAATTAGTAGTTTCTTCTTCTCTTCAATAATATTGCTTTGTTTGAAGTGTTAATAATACTCCTTCAAATTTAAAGCGGGAATCGTTCCTTCCAAAGATGAATTTCTTTGTTGCCTTGTTTATGTAATGTGTTGATTCTTCATTTGCCTGAAAATACAGAGAGATTGTAATGGTTCGTATTTGGAGCTGTGACTGTATGTTAGTTGCTTAAATCAGAATTAAATACTATAGATAGCTGTCGGAATAAACCTATTTGGTAGAAACTAGAATAAATACATGTGTTACTAATCAAGATGGAAGTTATATTAATAAACGTTATATTCCGACAATAAATGTAGCATATGATTCCATTTCCATCAAACTTTGTAGGTATTTTTCTAGCAAATTTCACGCTTATAAGCTCCGTATTTTTTTATTGATTCTGCTGCAGGGCTTTCACTCAAATCCCAGGAGCTAACAGCTATCTTTTTAGCTGTTAGATTGTATTGTAGTTTCGTCATGGAGTATGACATACACACTTTGCTCGACATGGCAACACTGGCTACGACCTTGTGGGTTATTTATATGATTCGTATTAAACTCCAATCGAGTTATATGGAGGATAAAGATAACATTGCACTGTATTATGTGGTGAGTGAATTTATATAATCGACTTGATTCCGTAACACTTAATCTATTCTCTAACCGTTTTCTTGTTATGCTTTTAGAGTATCTCCCTCTTTTTTTTGTTTTTTTGGCATTCGAAAAATTGAAAAAGTGCATGTGCAGGTGGGCCCATGTGCTGTATTAGCTTTACTAATCCATCCTTCTACATCACATCACATCATCAACAGAATCGCCTGGGCTTTCTGTGTTTACCTTGAAGCTGTTTCTGTGCTCCCTCAACTGCGTGTCATGCAAAATACAAAGGTAAAAAAATTTACCGACGAATATCCACAAACATTACTAAATTCAATTTTTGTATTGCATTTTTTTAATTAATGTGTTTTTGCGGCAGATTGTCGAACCCTTCACAGCTCATTACGTATTCGCATTGGGTGTTGCGAGGTTCTTGAGCTGCGCTCATTGGGTTCTCCAGGTTCGATTCTTGAATTCTTAATCACTACTAATTGTTTTTTAAACATGTTCTTTATCACCCATTACCTATTCAAGAATCTGCAATATCAATAGGTATTAGAATTGATTGACATAAGACAATGGTACTTCAAATTTCGAAAAAATAAAAAATAAAGAAAAAGTCGGGTTTTTCAGTTTATAAAATTAGGTATTTTTCCTTTGTTAGCATAACTATTAGCCGATTTGTAATTTCAGGTTTTGGACACACGTGGTCATCTTCTAGTGGCACTCGGTTATGGACTATGGCCTTCAATGGTTCTTATATCGGAAATTGTTCAGACCTTCATCCTAGCCGACTTTTGCTATTACTATGTAAAAAGGTCTGTTTTTTTTTTTTTTGGTAATATTATCAATTTTATTTCTATATTGAATTTTCGTTTCATTAACTTTGGTTTTTTATGGTGTGCAGTGTTTTCGGTGGACAGCTCGTGTTGCGCCTTCCTTCTGGAGTGGTGTAAATCAGCAGTCGTATACGCTTTTCTTATTTAATTGTTCGTTTTAGTGCACTTACACGCCACTCTTGTTATCCGCTGGTTCTTACAAAATACTAATTCGGTTTTAGATTAGTCGATAATCTTCGTTGTAAGCGCTTTCAACTATGAATTTCATTATCACCACAATACTAAACTTTTATTTCTCATGGTGTACTTGTCATGTTTTTTTGGCTTCAATAGTTTTTTACACCATTGATGGAAGTTAACAATGGCAACACGGTTTTTTCGGAGATTTTTTTTTGTGACTTTCGAATTTTAATGATGACGTATTGATTCTCCTTCGTCCTACGTATGCCGTAATCTTAAAAACGACAAATAATTCGAAACGGAAGAGTAACTCAACTTAAAAACAACTTCATTGATGGACTTCTTAGCAAGTAATTTAAAGATGCAGCAATCTTGATTTCACACACACACGCACACACACACACACACACACACACACACACACACACACACACACAGTTCACACAGTGAGATTCTTGGCAAGAATCCCTTCAAGAGTAATCCCAGGTCCAAAAGCAAGAATCAACCCCCACTCACAATTACCATTTTGCCCCTTGTTCTTGAAATTCTTTGCCTCTTCCAACATATACTCCAACACATAAACAATAGTATTACTACTAGCATTCCCATAATCACTTAAAGCCCTCCTACTCGATTTCAGCTTTTCCGGCAAAAGCTCGAGCTTTTTCTCCAGCTTGTTCAATATAGCGGGCCCACCCGGATGAACCGCCCAGAAAAGTTCGTTGAAATCCTTCTCACAAAACCCACCATACCCCATCAACTCTACACAAAAATCTTGAATATTGTCCTCGATTATCTGCGGCAGCTGCTTTTCGAGCTTAAAACTTATCCCTTCCTCCGTAAGTTTTCCGTCTATTATCTTCTCCGTATCGGGCAAAAAATGCTGTATAGCAGTGTGCAGCTCGAAAAGCGGCTTTTCGATTTCCGAAACGGGGCCTGACCCGATTATCATTGCGCCCGCCCCGTCGCCGAACAAGGCCACACCAACCAAGTCGTACGGCCTGTCAGCGCTCGGCGGTTTGAATCCGATGATCGTGGTTTCGGAAGTTGCTAGAAGCACCCTACTGTTAGGGTTGTTCTCGGCTATGTCTTTAGCCACTCTGAGGCCCGCCACCCCGCCGGAGCAGCCCGAGAAGTAGAGCATGACCCGGCGGGTGTCGGGCCGGAGGCCCAATCCTCTGGCGAGGTAGAGGTCGCCGCCCGGCAGACGGGCCTCGCTGGACGAGACGTACACCACGTGCGTTATGTCGGAAACGGGCCGGCCCCATTTCTCGATGCAGGATCGCGACGCTTCGATGGCCATTTTTGTGACCGCCGAATTGCAGATTTCGAGACGTTGGTTTAGTGTCGGGACACCTTCGGCCGCTAGTTCCGGGTACTTGTTTAAAATTTCTTCCGACATCACTACGTATCGAGTTTTCACCGTGGTTGCCTTGCCTGAGAATTTAACCGGCCAATTAAAAAAGAAAAATTGTTTCAACACTTCTCCACATGCATGTATGAATGTTAGAAAAATATACGCGTTTAGACTAAAATACCCCTGTCCACTAATTGGTCGAGAAGAAAATGTTGGAGTGTGTTAATAAATTTAAAATTTTAAAAATACATAATTAATGCAGCATTGAAAATTAAACAAACAGTAAATAATCTTTAACTATATATATAAAATAAAAGGAAGAGAAAGATTTACAAAGTCGAGTGAGCTTCTGCTTGAGATCGGGATCGTCGCAGTTGGTATTTCTGAGGTATCCATCGACGAGAAATTCTTGCATGACGAGTTGGTGAGGGAACGCTTTGCCGAGGGCAAGAATCGCAGCTTTTTTCGAGCATTGGATATTCTCTTCATTTGCCATATTTGTTTTTTTTTTTTTTTTTATAATTACTTACTTTGAGTATAGTATTTATTTTCTTTGGCAAGTGTATGCAAGTAATATTGGTTCCATTATATATATACATATATATGTATATATAGTAGCAATTCAATTTGAGTAGATTATTAGTAGATACATATGCAGATGAACATGGATTGTGTGTTCAAGATTTACTGCATTGGATTAGTTCACAAGACATAAATTCATGACCTCCTTTAATTTTTTTTAGTCTTAATTAGGAGTTGTTGGTAATTAGAGGTTTTTTGTCTGAGATAATTAACTAATTAACTTGTAAATTAATCAGTATAACAAATTATAAATCCGAATAAATTTTTAATAATGTTGATTAAACCCCTAACTTCAAATTTATCAATCCAAAACGCCACCTCGTATCATTCCGTTTCAAGTAGTCGGAGTAATAACTTGAAGAATCAAATTTTATAATTATAAAGTAAAGGATAAATTACAACCATTTTGATGTATGGTTAAATTACAAATTTTCTTACATGTCCACCCTTGCAGTTTCAAATTTAGTTGTATATTCGAGATTATATGAAATATTATCACTTTAGTACCCGTTTTATCCCGTTCGAACTCCACATTTTGAAGCAAGATGATCATAATGTGTTTTTTGACTTGTATATATCAGATTGTGGTGCATCAAAAACTATATTTTTACACAAAACGAGTACAAACTAGAGCACATTCAATAAAATCTAGATGATTATATTGAATTTGACACCATAAGGGTGGAGGTGTAAGAAAAAATCATAGTTCAGAGGTAGATGCAATTATCCAAACAAGAGGGATTTTTTCGTAAATTGACCATGCCTCAGGGGTGGTTGTAATTTACCCTTAAGTAAATTATACCATCGATCATGAATATCAATTATACATATAGAATAACGTAAAATATCCACAAGATCGCCGAGCTTTATTTACGACTCAATTAGCCCGAGGATCGCCTATAGCAAGTCAACAATGAAAAGCATCGAAAAAATAATATAAGCTAAACTTCAATATATAATGCCAAACATGTCATTACGAAAAACGACCACAAACGAAAAGACTTTCCGACATTTCAAAATATTTTAGACGAGACAAACAAGAATCTACATATAGAAATTAACAATATACTAGCCTTGGCAAAGAGGAATATTCCCAACCGATTCTTCTTGTTCCGAGGGCTTTACTTATTTGCAGTTGCAGCAGCTTCAAGAGCATCGAGACGAGCATTGATTTGCTTCTGGGCTTCGAGTATATCTCGAAGAATGGCGTCATTCCCCACACCACCACATCTAACACTAACCACTCTGTGTTGACGAACGACTGCATCGATACGAGTAACTATTTCATATCCACGATCGAGATCGTCATCGGCCATATTTACGACCACGAACTGCAGAAAATTCATTTCAAGGTGAATGAATACTTACATTTTAAAATAAAATAACATATCTTTAGAACAAAATTAAAAAAATAATAATCAGGATAATCTCAAGCCAAATTTTGATATTTTAGGGAAAAAAAATTCCTTTTTTTTTTTCTCTTGATTTTTTTCGTAATTATACACTACATTCTATGGATTCATAATTTCACAACAAGAAATCAAGAATACTTTTTTACCCTTTCATGCTAAAATAATGGACTTCAAATTCTAGGCCAGGCTAATTTTTTTACACGCAATACAAAATGTGTGTGTGTGTGTGTTCGATTGTGTGTGGAAAAGGTTAGGGAGTCGAAAGAAGAACAAGAAACCCCAAAAAATTACCTTAACGGTGGCGAGGCGGCGGCGTTGCAGAGACGAACTGAAGAAGTGGCGGTGCAGTAAAAACAACGAAAATTGACCGAGATAACAATGAAGATGAAATTAGGGTTTATTAGTTACTAGAGGTAACGCCTCCGGTAGCCTGGTTCATTAAATACTTCTATTTAAGCGATTTCAGGTCAAACTGTAAGTAACCGGAGCTTCCCACACCGTCGAAGGGGTGAGCTAAAAAAAACCGCGAAAACCGAATTGAAAACCCAAAAAGCGGCCCGACTTAAAACCGCATATACGGTATTTAGAAAAAACAAAAATATCGGTTTATTTATGAAGAATAAAAAGATTGCCGAACTGATTACCCAATTTATACAAAACGACATTGTTTTGAAATATAGTATAAATGTTTACCGTCATTCCCAAGTGCGTCTTTATTTTTCGAACGCTAGTGACATGTTTTTTATTAGTTAATTTTATGCCCTCCTTTTTTTAGTCTTAACTAGTATTTTTTCCCGTGCGATGCATGGGATATTATTTCAAAAGTAAAAAAAAAAATCAATTTAATACATAATAAGAAAATATAGTACACGAACATAGTAAAATTTAATAATGTAGTATTATTCATATTTTATATAACATTAGTTTTTTTAAATCTTACTTATTGAGATTTATAATCCAAATAATATATAGATTTAGATTTAACAAATCAAACTTCTATCTTTATCTCTAAGATTTGAGATATATTGATGAAAAATAGAAGATTGATAATTGTTGAAAATTATTAGAGAAAAAATATTAAAAATAAATAATTAAAGAAATATTGCTAGAGTTTTTTAGAATTGTCCAGTGTTTCTTTCTTTTATATATAAGATAAGGAGTTGTTGGTAATTAGAGGTTTTGTCTGAGATAATAAATTAATTAACTACTATTTTTTTTAAGAATGTTGATCAAACCCCCACCTTCAATCCAAAATGCCACCTTGTATCATTTCGTTTTAAGTAGTCGAGTAATAACTTAATAAATCAAACTTTATGATTACAAACTAAATTATATTATAACGTGTGTTGGGTTAGTTGACACAAACTCACTTATTCCAACATCTTTATTTGTTCGAATCGAGAATGCAATAAAAATTGAGTTTTCAACATCTTTTGTTTTCATTTTTTTTTTCAATTTTAATATAAAAATAGTAATTTGGAATATTAGCAAAGACGACCAACAAAGACTTCAGTCTGCAAGAATATATATAATAATAAATATAATTTTTATTGACTAATTCAATTACTATTTTATTTTATTTTTTTGAGGAAAATTCAATCATATTTATTGCAAATCAAGCAAGTTGATGTCGAATAACAAGTTGTATACATATGATTGCATTCCACATTAGTGATAACAAATCAATTAAAAATGAGTTAGGTACATAGCGGATATTTTAAAATCAATATATATATATATATATATATATATATATATATATATATATATATATATATATATATATATATATATATATATATATAGAGATCTTGATCGAGCCGAATTTGCTCGTAACCACCCGATTTGCTATCTATGCGAAAATTATCGACCAAAATCGGAATACCGACATAACATATTGAAATTATCGTGCAGGAATATTTAATTAGACAACGCAAAACAAAATCAATTTTAAACCAATATAATTATTAAAAAAAATAATGTTAGGCTTTGAAATTCGTTGCCTTGAATAATAGGGCATCATATATTATGGATTCTAGGCACATGCATTTGATTTTCAAAGTAATAAAATAAAATAAAATAAAATAAAATGAAATAAAATAAAATAAAATAAAAATAAATCTTGCAGATATTGTAGATATTTTTCTCATTTATTACATACACACCCCCACACTCTCTCTAAATAATTGAATAATTTAATTTCATCGTGTTGACTTTTTTCCTCACATGTTATTACATAATAAAAGTGCAAATAAATGATCTCACAGAGTTATACATATCCCTTTACAGGAGGGAAATTTAATTTTTTGTTCTATAATATAATTTAATGTAAATTACAGTCACCTAAGTAAGGTTAAATTACGAAAAAACTCTTCATGTTTGGGTAATTACAACCACCCCTCAACAATGAGTTTTTTTTTACATATCCACCCTTATAATTTCAAATTCAATATAAAGTTCAGGATTCTTTGAAATGTTCTCTAGTTTGTGCTCGTTTTGTGCAAAAATGCAGTTTTCGATCATCACAATCTGATATTTACAACCCTACAGACACATCTTATATATGATCATCTTGTTTCAAAACGTAGAGCTCGAATAAGTAAAACGGGTACAAAGTGGACAATAATCCACACAATCTAGAATATTCCACTTAATTTGACACTGCATGGGTGGACGTATAAGAAGATTCATAGTTGAGGGGTGGTTGTAATTACCCAAACATAAGGGGTTATTTCCTAATTTTACCTTATCTATGGAGTGGCCGTAATTTATCCTATAATTTTAATTTTCAATTAATTCCTTATCTCATTTTCTGACAAAGTTGAATAAAAGAAAAATCAAATTAAATCAAAGTCACGCATTATATAATTTATATGCTTGAGAATGTAGTTGGTTTTATTTCAAGCATTTAATTATCAGCTGAATATAAAAGTTTGAAAAAGAACTGCCAACCATCATATTATATAGTGTCACGCGATATTGTTTTTTGCCCCCTAATTATTGAATACAATTTATTGATATTTTCTTTTAGGCCCGCCCGATTTAGTAAAAATGCACTAAATTATTAATTTAATAATTTAGTATTTTATAAATTAATAGAATTTTGTTAGTCTCAATTACATTATTTTTTTTTTTGGTCTACCTGTTTAGAGGTTGGCAAGTAAGTAAATTTGTTGAAATAATGTAGATTAAACTATGCTTATTTTGAAACGGATGGAATAAGAATTACTAACTACTTACGATCCAACATATTTATAAGTATTTAATTGAGTTAAATATTAATCTAGATAAGATTTTAATATGAAACATATAAAAATATATATAACCACCTTCAATATTTACTCGTTGTATTGGCTTTATTTATTTAAATAAAAATAAAAATTTGTCTCATTCATATGAATATAGGTTTGACTTTGTTGTTCGAATTTATTTTATTTTTTTAATTTGTTATGCAATTAATTCACAAAATATATAAATTATGTTAATATTAAAATATAAAATGAGACGAGAAAATGGACCACATGGATTGAATAAGTCAGTCGTGTAGCACAAAATTTTGGCATTTTTAAGCACTTATTGCTATTTTTTTTCTTATGTATTATTTTTAGAGAAGAAAAGTCACATTATTTTATAAACAAGAATATAAGTGTCATGTTGTATCAATTAATAATACTTCGAATAATAATTAGATTAAATTAGAATGTTACCTAATTATTTGCAGAGAAAAATAATCAATTAACTTACAAATACCTCATTTATTAGGGTTTTTGTTTCACAAACTTCCCCCCCAAAAGGTCATAGAAATAAATGCCATTGGATATTTGTATTTCATTAACTAAATGTGATTTAATAATTTATTCAGGTCTCGACTCAGTGACAACGTGCCTAATCTTTAATTTGATAATTTAGTATTTTGCTAATTAATAAAATTTTACTGATCCCGACTGTACTTATTAATTTATAGAAGTTTAATTGTATTACTCGGCCACCCCGTTTGATTTGAAGTACGTCTCAATAGTTATAATATTTTGTTTTTCCTATATTAAGTTTCACAAGTTTGAAGGCACATTTAATTTTTAATATTTTTAGCAATTTTTTTTATTTATCTTTTATAATAGAAATACTGTAGACCTCGACAAATTAATACTTAATAAATTAATAACCTCAGTTAAATAATAATTTCTTCTAGTTCCGATTCGATAAAAACCTATTCAATTATTAGTTCGATAATTTAATATTTCGCTAAATTAATAGAATTTCGCTAGTCTATATTAAATTAATCATCATGTAAAGTTAAAAAAGATGAAAGATAGGGAAATGAAAATATTAAATGTGAGGAGTGAATTAAGTGTGACAGCCATTAATATGTAGCTGAATCTCCACTCTTTCTGGTGATAGGGTATCTAATTATTTAATTATTTTAATTATCTTATAGTTGAATAAAAATTCAACTCTTGCTTCTGTAATGTGTACGTACGTGTCTATATATATACAGTAGTGTGTAGTGCATTAACAACAAACAAACAAGAGAGAGAAAAATCTAGAGAGAGAGAGAGAGAACATGGCTGCTAATGCTGCTAACAGTGGGCTGCGTTTACATGCTGGTAGTATGGATGATGAAGAAAGCCAAATTAGTGGAAGAAGCAAGATTCAACCTGCCTCCACTCCAGGGTACTCTCTCTCTCTCTCTCTCTCTCTCTCTCTCTCTCTCTCTCTCTCTCTCTCTCTCTCTCTCTCTCATATTTAATATTTTTTTGGTTTTATTAGGCAAGAAAATTGGGTAGTTGATCCTGATCAAAAGAAACAACAACTTCCTCCTACAATAAGTGATATCCTGGGCTTGGACGATCTCTTTTCTTTAGAGGTAATAAGTGTATATATATATATATATATATATATATATATATATATATATAATTTGTTTTTAAATATATATATTTTCTTGATAAATTTCGAAGGTATGGCGAGCGTCGGTAGGAGAACTTCTCGGAACCGCAGTGCTAGTGTTCATGCTGGACACAATCGTAATTTCGACGATCGAGTCCGACATAAAAATGCCGAACCTGGTACTCTCGGCCCTCGCCGCCATCATTATCACCATCCTCCTCCTCGCGGTCCACCCGGTCTCCGGCGGCCACATCAACCCCATAATCTCGTTCTCCGCCGCCCTAGTCGGCATAATCTCGCTCTCGAAAGCCCTAATCTACATAGTTGCCCAATGCATAGGTGCAACCCTAGGTGCACTAGCCCTCAAGGCGGTGGTGAGTAGTACCATCGAACAAAGTTTCTCCCTCGGGGGTTGTACCCTGACGGTCGTCACGGCGGGCCCAAATGGGCCCGTCGAGATCGGCATCGGGACCGCCCAGGCGTTCTGGCTCGAGATATTTTGTAGTTTCATATTCCTCTTCGCCTCGATTTGGATGGCGTATGACCATAGACAGGCGAAGGAATTAGGGCATGTGCTTGTTTTTAGTATCGTCGGGGTCGTTTTGGGCTTGCTTGTGTTCGTCTCGACTACGGTGACGACCCAGAAGGGTTACGCTGGGGCCGGGATGAACCCGGCCCGGTGCTTGGGGGCCGCGATTGTGAGGGGGGGCCATCTTTGGGAAGGGCATTGGGTGTTTTGGGCCGGGCCCGGTATTGCATGCGTTGCGTTTTACTTGTACACGAAGATTATTCCCAGGAATCATCATCGATCGAAGGCTTACGACCATGATTTCTACAATATTGTTAAGGTCGTGTTCCGAAATCGCGGTGAAAGAAAAGATTAAGAAACAGTGGTGGACCCAGCATAGAGCCGATCGGGGAGTTTTAAGTCGAGCAAAGCTTGGATATCTAACCCGAGTTAAAATAAAACAAAGAAGTATAAGTAGCTTATATATATATTGTGAAAAAAATAAAATATATTTTCTTTGCTATAGTATAAGAGGGTCTTTGTTTCCTATATTGTCTTGTATGTTTCATCATAAATGAGTGTCAAATATGTAGGGCTGTTTTTTGAATGAATTATTATGCAAATTTTAACATTATCTAATATTATTGGTCAAACTATGATATATATAGTAATATATAATAAATAAAAAAATAAAAAAATCTCTTATCACCGACAGTAACACATACATACTATAATAAGACAATAAATGACAATTATCAACTTACTGTTTTTAGCATATAATTCCGATCCAAGGAATGAAGAAATGAAATTAAACAAAGAAACGATTAAATTAGTCAAACCATGAAATATGAAGTGTGACGAATTAGAATAGTCTTGTTGATGCTACATCTAGTGAAATATACCGTCGTAGAATAAATGCAGCACAATTGCACAAATTATATATACGTATCGATGTTGTCCCCGACTCTCTCGCACGTCGTAATAAGCAATGCACCTAATTAAATCCTGCACAATCGAAGCAAATTTATACATGAACGATTTCTTTGGGATGGGGCACTGGTGGTTTTGGGCGGGGCCCGTTATTGCGCGCGTTGCATTTTACTTGTACACGAAGATTATTCCGAGGAATCATCATCGATCTAAGATATGAAAGAAAAGGATGTTTTTAAGGTCGTGTTTCGAAGTTGCGGTGAAAGAAACTACGGAGAGTGGTTGTTCGTTGTCGGGAATTAGTCGAACGAAGCTTGGATATTCGAGTTAAAAAACTGTATATTAAAAAAAAAAAAACTAATTTATTTTTGCTTGTATGCATTTTCAAGTACAATACTTATAAGCGGGTCTTTAATTTCGATCTTATTTTTTCTTGTATCTTTCCTGCATCTTTCATCATTGCTGTACAAACACAGTATTTCTTTCAGGAATTTCGTCGAACCCCATTGCTGCATCTTTCATCGAAAGTATTTTTGCATAGAAAGTCACCCCAAATCAAACATTTTCCAGACAATTACTAATTAAAATACGAGTTCACTTTGAAATTTTCATCAAAACTAAAACCCTGTCAAAACAGAGTATTATTTTAATAGCTGAACAATTACTATTCTCAGGTTAAAAACTGTGTATAAAACTTTAGCAAATATTTACTGTACTATAACTTACAATAATTGCCATTCGCATTTCGCCGAATACTTATCAAGCAAAAAGAGATTATCTACTGATGTTCCGAAAGGCCATTTTGCGGTTTATGTTGGTCAAAGTCAAATAATGAAGTATATAAGCGAAAAGACGATATTTTTTTAACGAAAATGCTAATTTCAATTTGATCTGTCAAGTATCAATCCGTGATGGCTTATATACTGCTTGTTCGATTAAAAGTGATGTTTATGTGCTTAATTGAACCTAAACCAACTTCGTTGGACTTTTAGCAAGTAATTGACAGATACAAACAAATATGGTTTCAATTTTAAACAGAAAAAAACTTTAGACGATAGCTGCTTAAATGTAGATGAACTGAGTGTTTGAATATTGTCCTATTATAGAGTAAGCATATGCACAAAATCCAGCCAAAATCAGCCCAAACTCAGCAAAACAACTGCTGCTACATTCATCCATAAGTTTCGATTTTCACCCGAAAAAAAAAAAAAAAAAAACAAATTGGCAAAAATTACCTACTTTGTACCACTCTTTGCAAACTCTACTTCATTGCATCAACTTCGACGTTCTTTCCTCCACAACCTTCAAGATATGAAAAATAAAGATTTTTTTCATAATTAGACCAAGTAATTCCGGCAAGTATAAGTACACTACTATTAGGCAAGTACAAGTATACTATTCTTTTGTCAAATCAATTGCAATATACTTACAGTATCAGGGAATTCGAAGAAAACTGTCCACAGTTTTGAACAGACGAAAGCACACATTTTCATCCGCATCATCATCAAGCGCCAATCGGCTGTCATTATAAAACCAATATATTGACAGCAGCCTTTGCCTCATTGTATCAACATTATCCGCACTCCTCCAACCTTCAAGTTGACGTGAGTTCCTCGGCATCAAATTTGCCGGTGGTTCAGAATTCACGGGATACACAATATGTGTGAACTGGACTCGGGGAAGGTGAACTAGTTCGTCCAATGGAAAAGGATGTCCTGGCGTATATTTCACTACTGGAACATAGAGAGCATCCTCCGAAAGAGTAATTTGAGAATTAAACAGCCTAGCGCCATTGGCATTGGAACGGGCTTCTATAACAGTCACGCTCTCGATAAGTTGCGTCACTAGCCCTGGAAGAGGCTGCAATTGGGCTTGCACTTGAGCTAATTGTGTCTGGATTTGAACTTGATTTTGAGCCATTTGTTCTTGCATTTGAACTTGCGTCTGTTGCATCTGATTTTGTTGGTTTTGCATTTGTTGCATTTGATTGTGTATTTGATTTTGTTGGTTTTGCATTTGTTGCATTTGATTTTGCATTTGTTGCATTTGATTTTGCATTTGAACCTGTGTTTGCTGCATTTGATTAAGTTGATCTTGCATATGTCCAAGTTTCTTTAGAACGGCGGTATTCCCAAACCCGATCTAGCATTAGCCACTATATGTTGCCGTATAATGCCCTCGGATAACAAGTGTTGGTCCACAATACCTCCACGTCAGCTGCATTCACATGCACAACGTTTCAAAACCAAACATTCCACCGAGTGCAGGGAAAGAAGCATTAATAATTCAATAACAAAATTCAGATTACAAAAATTAAAAATACAGGCAACCTAAACATAATGAGGGTGTTACGAAATAGGGTTCTACCGGGAAATCGAATTCGGATTCTAGGGCAGGCTAATTTCACACACAACACAAGAACTACAAATTATAATTCATTTATTTATTTTAATTCGTCGCGAAACTAAGTAAAAACCATCGATCAGTCCAGGGTTTGATTTTATTTTACAAATATCCAAGTGTTTGTGTGTGCACAAATTTAAGGAATTGATAGTAGAACAAGAAATCCAAATAATTACCTCAAAGGTGACGAGGCGGCGCAGTCACAGAGAAAAACCGACGAGTACAGCGGCGCTAAGTGAACGCCCGGTAAAACTGGCGGTGTCTTTGAAACCCTAGATCGTGAAAAATCAAACGAATAAGAGAGATAAGATGTCTACTGGAATAAATTGTGTCGACGAAGAATTAACGATGAAACAAAGAAGATGAAAGAAATTAGGGCTTTAAATCAGCGGTCTATTTATTTTATTTTCAGGGTTAAATACAAAAACATCTCTGTACTATAGACTTTCTATCATATACGCCCTATAGTATATATTAATACCAAAACTCCCCTATTGTTACATTTTTTTCAAATATCTATTTTTAGTTGGATGAAAATACCCCTGATAAACCCTAAAAATATTAGGGACCGTTTGAGCTATTTTCCACTAATTTTTTTAACATTTTTAGTCGATTTTACTTATGAAATTTTGTTATATTTATTTTTTTCTCAAAACATTTAATTGCTTAGATTTTTTTAATTTTCTAAATAAAACTTTTTATTTTCGTCATAACACAAAAAATAGCCCAAACTCACAAAACAGCTGATACTACATTGGAAAAATTGTAATTTTGGTCCTACATGTTGGTTTGTTTAGAGATTTAGTCTTATAATTGTCCTATTTCAATTTTACATGCAATAATTATACAAAATTAGTATTTTTGGTCATATTTCACTCGAACTTTGAATTTTAGCCGTCATTTAATGATGTAGCTAACAAACTCACCGAATTTTATTTATATAGACACTTCAAAATTATAAATGCTTATCTAATTTGGATAGATGTGTTGTCTCACAAAATCAAAGTTGTACCAAGGGTAAGTTAGATGTCGAATTTACAATTTTCAAGCGTCTATATAAGTTAAATGGGTCAAGTTTATTTGTCGCCTCATAAAATTAAAAAAATCATACAATAGGACTAAAAATACTAGATTTGCAAAGTTATTGTAAGTACAGTTGAAATATGACAAGTTAGGAGACTAAATTCCTAAATAGGCCAAAACGGAGGACCGAAACTACAATTTTTCCTACTATATTCATCCACAAGTTTCAATTTAAAAAAAAAAAGAAAAAAAAAGGAAAATTGGGAAATAGTACCTCCTTTATACCACTATTTGCAAAGTTCCTACAACTTCGATATTCTTTCCACCGCTCTCGACAACCTTCAAGATATGAAAAATATAATATTTTTCACAAGTAGACCAAGTATTCCAGACAAGTATAAGTATACTACTATTAGGCAAGTACAAGTATACTACTATTATTTTAATCAATTGCAATTTACTTACACTATCACGAAATTTAAAAACACAATTCATACTTATGAACAAACACGATGGCACACATTTTCATCTGCATTGTCATCAAGCGTCAATTGCATGTCATTGTAAAAACCAATATATGACAGCAGCCTTCGCCTGAGTATAGTAACATTATCTGTAGTCCTCCAACCTTCATGTTGATATAAGTTCATCGGCATTAAATTTGCCGACGGTTCTGAATTCATGAGGTACACGGTATATGTGAAATGGACTCGAGAAATGTTAACTAGTCGTCCTTGGGAAAATGACGTCCTGGAGTATATTTTACCACCAGGACATAGGCGTCATCCTCCCAAAGAACGATTTGAGAATTAAACAACCTAATATCATTGGCTTCGGATCGAGCCTCTATAACATACACGCTTTGGAGAAGTTCCATCACTAACATCAGAGAAGGTTCCAATTGGACTTGCATTTGAGCTAATTGTGCATGTATTTGAATTCTTATCTTGAACCATTTGCCCTTGCATTTGGACTTGTGTTTGTTGTATTTGATTTTGTTGTTTTGCGCTTGTTGCAATTTTATCTTGTTGATTTTGCATTTAAACCTGCATTTGATTTTGTTGGTTTTGCATTTGAACTCGTGCTTGTTTCATTTGATTTTGTTGGTTTTAATTTGCATTTGAACTTCTGTTTGTTGCATTTGATTTTGTTTGCATTTGAACCTGCGTTTTTGCATTTGATCAAGTTGACCTTGCATCGATCCAAGGTTCAATAGAACCACGACGTTCCCAAACCCGGATCTAGCCTGAGTATGTTGTGTGATGATGGCCTCGGATAAGAAGTGTCGGTCCACAATAACTTGGTATGGTTGACCTTGATGCATTTGTACCACTTTCATTGGTTCATTGCAAACGCGTTCGTATGTTGGACAAAAAATAAAAATAAAAGCTATCAGCAAATATCGTTATCACTCATCAGTTATCACATCGAGTACATAATGCTCGTTTAGAGTTTGTAGCTAGGGAACAATGTTATGAACAAAGAAGACAAATGCTTAGTTATATTGCAATGAATTATTTTCGGTTCATATGAAGACAACTCGATGTGATTGATTATTCCTCATGTGCTTATATTTCTCTTATAATTGCACAATACTCATCTCTCATATTTTTTTGAAGGACATAACTATTTTTTTGCACAAACCCGGATCTAGCATTAGCCACTATATGTTGACGTATAATGCCCTCGGATAACAAGTGCTGGTCCACAATACCTCCACGTGATTAACTTTGATGCATTTGTTTCACTCTCATTGTTTCATCACAGACTTGTTCATTGGTTGGAACTTGGTTATCACCGATAGCATCAGCTGCATTCACATGCACAACGTTTCAACACCAAACATTCCACCGGGTGCAACATAGCGTATTTCATAAGCACCAACATCTTGAATAAGAACCATGATGTTAGAATCCTATGGATTCTAATTGTACGAGAATTAATAAAACTTGTGCCACAAGTTTTCATATACCGTGAGCTAAAGAAGGGAAGAGTCCTTGTAGCTTTTAATTCTTTTAATTTGTCATTAATTGATTTATAATAGGAATTATTCTTCTAAAGAGTTATTCTTATTTTAACCCAAGACTTTCTTGTGTGCAGGTCTCCTATTGTTAGAATCAAAATTGGAGTCTAATTATTCTCAAAGTCTTGGGCAACAAGTCTTCATGTTGCCATATAAACTGCCGTGTGTTTTTTTATTGAAAAAGGAAGAAGTGGTTTCCATTGGTTTATATGTTGTCATTAATTGTGATATTATTTTATTTGGGAATTAGTGTTTGAATAGGAGTTAATATCTTTTGATAAGATTTATATCCTAATATGCCTGATACGTATTTTGAATTGGACTCTTGTAGGATTCTTTATCAGGCTTATAAAAGTGGAGCAAATACACGTTAGTGCTGTGCGGTTTTTTTGGAGAGAAAGATTTTCTCTTTTCTGTGTCGCTCTTCAAGCGTCTTTTTTATCGAGAGAAAAATTCACAGAGAAATTATTATTTGCTCTCGTTTTTATTGCTCCATCGTGATACGTGATTTTCATAGAACATATACCGGCTTCAAGGCTTTGTGGTGAAGACACCAAGATTCAAGGAGTATCACAAGTTTGCTTCTTCTATACAAAAAGAAGATCGGTTCTTCGGGAGAGGGGCTTAAACAGATCTCGGGAGGAGATCGATCCGCCGACTGAGGGATTCAGCGTTGAAGGGAGTTCAACCGTGCGGAGCAAGGGACGTGCTGCAAATTGAAAATTTATAATTCAGCGTAGTATACAAGAACGGCGTCAACAAAGAGGGAGTCTTTGTATTTTGATTAAGTCCTAATATTGTATTCGTAAAACTAAAAATTAGTAAATTTTATTTGCTGGTCCCCGTGGATGTAGGGTACAGTTGTATCCGAACCACATTAAAATTTGTGTCTCGTTTATTTCTGTTTTTACGAACTGTTTCACGAACTGTTGCAACACTTCACGCAACAGTAACGAAAAACTGAATCTGACACAAATAATTTATATCTGCACGAAATAAATTCTAACAATTGGCATCAAGAGCCTGTCACTAGATACACTTAGTGAGATTTTGGGATTTAATTATTTTTTTATTTTTTTGTGCAGACATGAATAATCATCGTGAAGGCGCATTCCTACCACCTCTCTTGGGTGAATTGAACTACTCTGATTGGAAAATAAGGATGAAGATGTTCATCAAATCTATCGATGAATGGGCCTGGCGCGCGATTGTAATTGGTTGGACACCTCCTACCTCAATGAATGAGTCACACGAGATCATTCAAACCCCAAAAGAGAAGTGGAGTGATGAAGAAGTACGAATCGCAGATTATAATTCCAAGGCAACCAATGCTATCTTGAGTTGTATCGATGAAGACCAATTCAAATTGATATCAATGTGCAAATCATCAAAGGAGGCATGGGATGTTCTACAAGAGGCCTACGAAGGAACTACTCAGATAAATGAGTGCAAACAGACTGTCGCTGAAACTGTTGCAACAGTTGGACAGACAGTTCAGAGAGACCTTAGGTATGATAATTTGCATTCAATACATGATAAAAGATCAACTCCGTTAAATCTTGCAGGTGATGATGGGGATTCAGAAAACAACAGCGATGATGACGTGTCAACCTTGGAAGAAATAAAGCAATGCTATGAAAAGATGTACGAAAAATTTCTTCAGGTGTGTGAGTCAAATAAATTCTTAGAAAAAGAGAAGCTTGTCCTAATTGAGGAAAACAAAGTATTGAAGGTACAAATTTCTACTCTGGAACAAAATGTTATTTCTGCTAGTAGAGAAACAGATAGCTTGAAGGCTAAATTTGCTCAAACCCAAGATGATATTTCTAAGTTTAATACTGGTAGGGTAACTTTGAATGAAATTTTGAACCAAAATCAGCCGAATTGCGGTCGTACATGTATAGGACGTAATCAGCTATCTAATGATGCATTGAAACAGAAAGAAGATCCAAAAATAAAAATCAATTTTGTTAAACAATCCACTGTTTCAGAAACTGTTGCGACAGTTGCATCAACTCAGTCATCTCAAAGAAAACGTTTTGTCCCTACCTGTCATTTTTGTCATGCTCCTGGTCATATACGACCTAGGTGTTTTAAGTACTTGAAAATGGTTAAAAGAATAATGGCCCGCTCACCACTTTCCGCCAAAATTGATCACACTTTTGTGTCGTCTCAAAAACCCAAGATAAAGGTTGATTTAGTGAATAAAACTCAACAAAAAATCTGGGTAAAGAAGTCTGATCTTAATTGTTTATCTGCCATTACTTCTTTAAACTCATGTCATGATAGTACTAACTGTTCCAACAGTTCTGGTGACAAAGCTAGTTTTGGGAATAAAAAACTTGGTAATCTGAATTGTGATAATTTGAATGCGAAAAATAAGTTTATGAATCCAATTCAGCATTCGAGAACTAAGCTTACTGATATCTGTCATTGTTTCATAAGGGGCTTGGTCGAAAAGGGGGTTGTATCAATTGATTATGCTGCAACGGAGAATGAATTAACTGATGCTTTTGCAAAAACCCTTGATGCACAGAAATTTGATTCCTTGCGAAAATCGCTGGGAATTTATGTTGTTTAATCTGATGCAGTTGCATGAACTGTTGCAACAGTCTGTGTGTCCAGACTTGCAACTTTTAGTGGTAGGACACTTCATATGTTTTTGCATCTCATATAGGACCTCATTAAGCATACTGCATATGATTGAGACAAATGTGAATTTGATACTTCGTGTATTTCTAAATTTTGTGGGGTAGAACTTCACCAATTCCCAAAATGATTACTTAAAAGGCTCCAACTTATTTATTTCTCTGAATAGTCTTGTCATGGTTGGATGTTTTTATAGGGAAAAGCTGCCTCTTTTAATGAGTGAAAGCTACTCTTGAACTACTGTTACTAATATATATAACTACAACCATTTGGTCAGTGAATAGTTCGAAGCCTTTTTGAGTCGAGCCAGTAAATCACGTGGCCGAAAGCTCGCTACAAGGCTCAATTAGAAAGCCCAAGGAACTACACATTGCACGTCCAATATAAATTATATATATGGTCAGTGAATAGTTCGAAGCCTAGTTGAGTCGAGCCAGTAAACCACTTGACCGAACACTTACTACAAAGCTCAATTAGAAAGCCCAGGGGACTACACATTGCACGACCAGCATAATCTCGTTCCTTTTAATTGCTCTGTTTTTCATGGGAAAAAGCTACCATTAGACGTGTGTGTACGCTACCTAATAAGAGCATCTTTGTGTTTGACTTGGGATTATTAAGTTTATTGGTTGCATTGGCAGTCGGATTTTTGGGGATTGCGCTTGTCGTAAATGTGAAGATAAATCCCATATGTTTTGTTTGTCCATGCAGTATCCTATTCACATATGTCTCTTCACTCATGTTTATTTCTCATGTTTACTTCTTGTCTTGCATTAGGCATTTTTTTAAAATAAAAAAAAAAAAAAAAAAAAAGAGAGAGAGAGAGAGACGGGATTTTTTGTTTATGTGCCGGTTAAATTTAATTTTTTTGTTGCAGCCGGAACTATTGGGCTTACTCCTTACATTTCCACGTTTCTTATGAAGTTTGGCAAAGTCTGTAGTCTTTGCTATTTAATGTTGGATTTGATATCACTATCCTTTGATTTTCGCATTGCAATTATCGTGTGGTATTGAGTTTGTGAGTTTGTGATTTTATGTGCACGTTATGTATAGTGATTCTTCTCACTTACTTCCAAGATTCTCTCTTCGTTTTGATCTTTTTGTTAAGTGTTTGAACAGCTTGCTTGAATCATCAAGATCATTAGTCCATGTTGAGTTATCTCTGCATGGTGATTGCCCAGAAAGGGGGAGAAAAGAACAGGAGAAAAGAACAGTAACGATGGCATGAACACAGGGGGAGTTCCGACAACTGTTGCGACAGTTGCTGGAACAGTGCAGGAATGCAGGGGGGTTCAGACAACTGTTGAAACAGTGAAGAGAAGTTGTTTCTGCTACTGCATATCCTTTTTATCTCGTGCTTATCTGAACGAATTATCTGCTTTTATTTTGGAACTATGGTTTATTTACAGTTTACATTATCTGGTGAACTGTTTGATAAACTGTTGCAACAGTTTATATGTGCAGATGTTATTCTGAATTTGCTAACCCTTGTTCATGCATGTATCATATAGTTAGGGGGAGTAAATATTCTGACCAATCAATGCCAAAGGGGGAGAGTGTTAGAATCTCGTGGGATTCAAGTCCACAACACCAAGTGAAATTCTATGGAGATGTTTATTGTCATTAATTGGTTTAGGTCTTCACAAGAATATAAAAGGAGGAGCTATAATGCCGATGTTATTTGCTGAGTCTCTTATCACGTGGATAATTTACCACGTTGTCATCCACCGCCTTCCAAGTCTATCAATCCGAGTAACCAAAGGGGAAGAATGAATGCATTTACAAGAGGAGCTGCCTAAGGATCATTCACAGAGGGAGATACACATGCAGGGGGAGCTGACTCCGTTGTGAACCACCTGCCGAAGCCACTACTGTGGGAACAGTTGCTGAAACTGTGGCACTTACTGTTGCAGCAGTTGATGCCACTCTTGTTGTTGAAAAGAGTTGATGATGATCTTTTGTTTTATTTGCTTCGGTCTAATCATCTGATTGTTTTATTTTCAGGTTTTTTACTCAGCGGGAGAAAATGATTATAATCAATAAACGACAAAGGGGGAGATTGTTAGAATCCTATGGATTCTAATTGTACGAGAATTAATAAAACTTGTGCCACAAGTTTTCATATACCGTGAGCTAAAGAAGGGAAGAGTCCTTGTAGCTTTTAATTCTTTTAATTTGTCATTAATTGATTTATAATAGGAATTATTCTTCTAAAGAGTTATTCTTATTTTAACCCAAGACTTTCTTGTGTGCAGGTCTCCTATTGTTAGAATCAAAATTGGAGTCTAATTATTCTCAAAGTCTTGGGCAACAAGTCTTCATGTTGCCATATAAACTGCCGTGTGTTTTTTTTATTGAAAAAAGAAGAAGTGGTTTCCATTGGTTTATATGTTGTCATTAATTGTGATATTATTTTATTTGGGAATTAGTGTTTGAATAGGAGTTAATATCTTTTGATAAGATTTATATCCTAATATGCCTGATACGTATTTTGAATTGGACTCTTGTAGGATTCTTTATCAGGCTTATAAAAGTGGAGCAAATACACGTTAGTGCTGTGCGGTTTTTTTGGAGAGAAAGATTTTCTCTTTTCTGTGTCGCTCTTCAAGCGTCTTTTTTATCGAGAGAAAAATTCACAGAGAAATTATTATTTGCTCTCGTTTTTATTGCTCCATCGTGATACGTGATTTTCATAGAACATATACCGGCTTCAAGGCTTTGTGGTGAAGACACCAAGATTCAAGGAGTATCACAAGTTTGCTTCTTCTATACAAAAAGAAGATCGGTTCTTCGGGAGAGGGGCTTAAACAGATCTCGGGAGGAGATCGATCCGCCGACTGAGGGATTCAGCGTTGAAGGGAGTTCAACCGTGCGGAGCAAGGGACGTGCTGCAAATTGAAGATTTATAATTCAGCGTAGTATACAAGAACGGCGTCAACAAAGAGGGAGTCTTTGTATTTTGATTAAGTCCTAATATTGTATTCGTAAAACTAAAAATTAGTAAATTTTATTTGCAGGTCCCCGTGAATGTAGGGTACAGTTGTATCCGAACCACATTAAAATTTGTGTCTCGTTTATTTCTGTTTTTACGAACTGTTTCACGAACTGTTGCAACACTTCACGCAACAGTAACGAAAAACTGAATCTGACACAAATAATTTATATATGCACGAAATAAATTCTAACAGTTACAAATGAATGCCCGGGAACATGCAACAACGAAGCATTTCACTTCGACTTAAGTGGTATAGCTTTCGGTGCTTTAGCCAATCCGGGTCAAGCCGACCCGATGAGGAAATTGGGCCGTATTGATATTGAATACCAAAAAAAACATAGTTAAAGATAGTTATATTTAATTTGCATTTGCTTTAGGTAAATCAAAATTCCCAAAAAAAAAAAATTGAATCTCACACTATCTCAATATTTAATATAGTTCATTAAATAAATTAATAAAAAAAAAAAATTTGGTTGCAGGGTGCAATGCACTTATAGTAACATCGGTATACAATTCAAGATCGACATAGGATCGAACGCTAACTATCTAGCATTTGCGATTGAATTTGTGAATGGAGACGGAGATATTGGTGCCGCCGCGATCTCGTCAAGCAATTCGAACGGATGGTTATCCATGAAACAGTCGTGGGGTGCGACATGGAGTGTCGGGATACCCGAGGGAGTAAGCGGTCCTTATTCCGTGAAAGTGACCACAATCGAGTCGCAAAAAACCGCAATTGCGAACAATGTAATCCCTGCTAATTGGTCTAAAGGCCAGAACTATCGCTCCAACGTCAACGTTTAATTTCTTGATTTGTCGAGTCCGAGCGAAAGTCGACGATCAATAATTAATAATTATTAGTAGAATAAAATGCTCCGGTCTATTTAATTTGTTGAATGTATAATATATATGTAAGGGTGATGATACTTTTTACCCATTTGAATTAATAAAAAATGTGGAGCTAAGTTTGTGTTTCTTTTACTCAAAAAAAAAAAGTTTGTGTTTCTTAAATAAATCATATATTCTTCTTTCTTTTTTTCGTAGTTAATTTGAATGATGGTAGAAACAAATTAATATTTTTTTTATTCCAATCATATAAAACTCACAATTCTAACTAATTACGCTAATTTTAAAAAATAAACTTATTATATAATATTATTGTTAGTTTACGTTTTAAAACGTTTTAATTTTTGGTCCACTAATCTTTATTTTATTTAATTAAATTGTGGGTAATTCAAATCATGGTATTAAGGTGATTTTATGGTAATTGATTTGTAACGTTGAAGGCAATAAAAGACCATGATGGGTGGGATTTGTCTTCTGCCGTTACAAATCAATCGTGGCCCTCTTCTCTCGTCTATAAAAGAAATCCACAGCTCTTCTCTTCAACCATCAGACGCAATTGAGAATTCCATCACTTACAGAATACTAGTGAGTTGTGATATTAGAGAGATAGAGAGAAGAAGGTGTGCTACGAATAAAGTTCTCAAGGAGATTCGAAGGAGGCCTGGCTAGGCTCGGCTTGTAGATTGCTATCGTTCATCGTCTCTATCGAAATCCATGGCGAACGGTATGTCGATAATCTCTATTATGTGCTTATGTTCTTAAGATGAATTCGATTTCC